GGTTTAACAACCTCTAAGAAAAACGCGTCGGCCTTGACTGAATGGACAACGTTTAGTTGAGCTAAAAGTGTTTAAATGCTGTATCTTTTTGCCCCAAAGCCATTGGAAAAAGACGTCGAAGTTTGCTGAAGCCCGTAAGCTCTTTCCACGTGCAAGACTAAACGAAAACATGAATATTAATTTCAAAGATTATTTGCAATTCATATGAGTTTTACGACCTTGGCAGACGCCCTGAATATCTTTAAAATACGAAATGGGATGACTTGCTAAACTAAGTTTCATGAAGAGTTACAACTATCTTATCGTTTAAGTTATAAAAAAAAATTGATCCAAACTTAATTGCAGAGGACCTTTCACCTCCCTCTGCAATTCAAGCCAACGGAGTTCTAATACTGTTTGATCTATACCTGTGTCGACGCATAACGTAGGGACGGTGAAAGGCTGCATTCTAAACTTTCCGCCCAGAATATGTAGTTATTGACTGAGTGGGAGGGCCGGAAGCGATAATAATTGGCTCGAGTTCAAGACGTACGGACCCAGCGCACCGAGCAGACCGAGCACAGCGTCATGACCTCGAGCCAAACATTTTCCTGTCCGGCCCGACCTATCTCAGTCAATGAGCATTCACGTCAACCCGCGCGGCTCAACATACGTCAGCTTTCACTCTTGTTTTCTATGGAATTGCGTGAGCGGGGCCGAACGGGTCATATGATCTAAAGTGATTATAGTGATTTTATACTTTTCCGTGAGCCCCTCTGGGTGTTTTAATAAACTCTGGGGTTTGATCTTTCCTTTTCTATTTTGCGTACTCAGGCGAGTTGTGGCAAGCGAGAGGAGAACACGGAGAACGAGGAGCATACAAAGGGAGAGGCGCACATTACAAATAAATCACGCCTCTTCTGCAGGTTATGTATGCCGGCCTCTGTTGTTATTTTTGTAGAATTGCAGGATTTCATTAATTTACCTCTACGTCCTATAATGTTTTAGTAGAACCAAAGCATACATAACTGTTTCGAACTAGGTATTTACATGTATTGACGGCGCGGGAGGACCGGACGGGAAAATATTTGGCCCACGGCAATTACAGGTCGCGCTCAGCGAGGTCCGTACGTCATGACCGAGAGCAAATATAACAGCGTCGCGCGCATCTTTTACTGTAAAACATTATCTAAATCCCCATGTGAGGGCCGTATGCAATGGAGCGAGGAGGGCCAGAAAAAGCTACCACGGCTCCGCAAGAGAAAGAAGAAAGAAGAGAGAAAGAAAGAAAATGAGCAAAGGTCACAAGATAAAATGTTCATCACATAAGGTTGAAGCGAACTAGAAATACTTTGCTCTCTGTCATGAAGCAACAACGTCGCTGCGCTCGGTCCGTACGTCATGACCTCGAGCCATCCGTCTGGCCCTCTTAGTCAAGAAGTACATATTATATTAATATTGATGAATACCGAAGTTTCTCTCGTTTCGTAAACGTTATATCTTCATAGCAAGCAGTGAACATACCATTTAAATTATCTAGGGATAAGAAATCAATCTCGTTATGCTAACCAAAAAGGCTACTTTTCACTTTTAGGTATCTCGTGCCCCTTTAGTTATCTCGTTAGTTGAACTGATTAGTTTGTTCAGTTCTCGCGCGCTCTTGCATGATGCTATATACTTGCTGTCTTGCGCACTTTTAGATTTCTCTTTGGTCTAACGAAATAATCGGACAAAATAGAATTCTAAAAGTGCGCGAGATAATAACAAAACAATCGGACAAAATAGAATTTTAAGGGTGCGCGAGATAATAACGCAATAAGCGGAATATAGAGTATCTTTAGAGTGTGCAAAATACCCACGAAAAAAATCGCGAGATACCAATGAAACAAACCGGCCAGAGATGATCCTCAGACTGAGGGAAAGATATTAAAGAAACAATCAAAAGAAAGGGAATTTTAAGGGTGCATGGGATCCTCAAGAAACAATCGAACGAAGGAGAATTCGAAATAATCCAAGTAAAAAGAATTCTAGTAGTTGTTGAGTAGTTGGCGAGATACTAAAGAATCAGTCCAACTTAAGACTCTATGAAGAGTGCACCAGATAATAAAAAACAATCAAACCTACGAAAATTCTACGAATGCACCAGATACTGATGCAACAATTGCATTAAAGAGATTACGAAGAGTGCGCGAAAAGCTAACGAAATAATGGAACTTAAGCGACTTCAAATATGCGTGAGATACTAACGAAACAATCGAACTAAAGGGAAGTCGAGTAATGCACAAGATACTAACAAAATAATCGAACTAAAGACACTACGAAGGGGGCACAAGATACTAGTGAAACTATTTAACCAAAGATACTTCGAAGAATGCACGAGACAATATCGAAAGAATACTGATAAAAAACATTCCCAGAATGCGCGAGATATTGACGCAACAATTAAACTTAATAGGCTATGGGGGGTTTAAAAGATACTAAAGAAGCATTCTAACTAGAAAGAATTCTATGTGTGAGCCAGATACTAGCGCAACGATCCCAATAAAGGGGAGTCTAAGCGTGCGCAATATGCTCATGTAATGATCCAACTAAAAAGGATTTTAAGAGTACGCAAGATACTAGCGCAACAATCCTACTAAAGACACTACGAAAGAGTGCAAGATATGATAGCAAAACAATTGAACTAAAGAGAATTCTATGCGTTCGTAAGATACTAACGAAACAATCTACCAAATAGAGTACAAAAAGTGAAATAAATACGAACGCAACAACCCAGGTAAGGAGATCTCTAAGAGAGCACGAGATACTAACTGAATAATCCAACCCAAGGAAATCCTAAGAGTGCGCGAGATACGAACAAAACGATCCAACAAAACCGAATTCAAAGAAAAAGCAAGACACTAACGGAAAAATTCAACCAAAAGGAATAAAAGGAGTGCGCAAGAAGCTAACGCAACAATGTGATTAAACTGATAACCCTAAAAATAGGCGAGATGTTAAGGAAACAATCGAACCAAACATAATTCTTAGAGTGAGTGATAATAACGAAACAATCGGATTTAAAGCGACGAAATGAGTAACATTTTTACTCTCAATGATTGAGGTATGGATGCACGCGATAATGTTAAGCAATAATTGGATGAGGTTGAACATGACATTAGGAATAAGCGTAATTGCTCCGCTAATTATAAAGATTGATTGGTCGAGGATTGCGTCATATTTCGCTATAATCACCTCGCGCAAGGTATTTATAGCACGGGCTCTTAAGTTCAAAATGGCTGTCTCGCGTTTGGCAACGTTCATGACTGGACGGAAAACTTTTCAGAGGATTTCTAGGGGAAATCGGGAGGTACTTAAAGAGAGCGCGGTTTCCGTCCTGTCATGCCGAGGAGAACCCGAGCTGCGTATTTTTTCGAGTTGTGCAGTATTTTAACAAGCTCGTGAGGTGAGTCAAAATACAAACAACGGGTAAATGTACTCAACAATACTACACAGCAACACGTCTAATAAGTTATTTATCATACAGCTGCTTTATTTTGTCTGCATTTCTTTCGAGGCGGGAGAAGAGAAACAGATAGAGAATCGTAGGACAAGCAGCCAACCGGTCAAACAGGTTTTTTTCTTTACAGAAAAAATAACCAACTTTCCAAATATCGTGTGATATTCAGTTGGTATTCGAGTCGTGGGTTATTTGTACTCTACCTAGTGCAGTTGGATAATAAGTTTGGAGAACACGAGAAAAGCGTAAAAGTTACTCGTGACGCAGCCGAGAGCAATTGTTACTTCTCAAGTGCTCCCAGAACTTCCCATGGCCAAATGCATTGACACATCGATATACTCACGTCTAAAAGCACGGGTGATCAATTCTTTTATAGAGCGCAAGATGAATCTTACATATCTATACCCATCGTTGTACTTATCTAGGCAATACTAATGGTAGTTCAAACTCCTTCGAAAACAGCAAGCGAAGGTTTTCTCTTTTAATGAAACTTCCGTTTTTTAATCATTATTTTTGCATTCGTTTCGCTGTTACAAACATCAAGAGAACTAAACGGTAGATTTTAAAAGTCGGCTGTCACGGTCGTCGTCATACAACACATAATTATTGTTTTATAAATGAGCTACCTCCGGTTTATTGTACTCAAAAAAGCTGAATACTATTTTACATTTTAAAGCTCTTGTTTAGATTAAGAGGACTTATGACTGTAAATCATTGGATTGATAAGGAAACTCGATAGTTGGAAAATTGCGGCAATGCGCAAACAGCGGAATATCTGCCCACATGATCGAAACCCAATGGAAAAACTTGGGTTTACGGCAAAGATGCTCAAATGGTTTGTAAAACTTTGAAAAAACAGCCTTATAAACTGTGTTAAGACCAGTTTCTGCGACTTAACAGATCAGCTCTGACCTGGTCCTCACCAGGAAGTATTTTGCAGCTGAATTCCCTGGTACATCAACAAGACGATAGACCAGATCCTTGATCGTTACGTGAAAGAGCATGAAATCAGACACGTGTTTTTTAAAGAAGCTCGCGAAAAACTTTCATGTTTGCGAGGACTCCAAGGATCACGAGTCTCACAGGAAAGAAGGAAACGAGAAGAGCCCAGATTAGATGGGAGAGCGTTGAATTCAAAGAATGAATTTGTAGTTCAACAGGAGAGGAATAAGTCATAAATCACTTGAAGGTTGAAAAATGCACTCATCTTTAACTTTGAGTTAACGACCTTGCGTTGTAATTTTGCATGTTTCAGGCAAACATTATTTGACAGAGACAGGAATTGAAACACCAAGCCAATCATATCCAAGTAGATAGTTAATTAATTAAAAAAATTATAAGACTTCCCGTGAGATATTAGTCGATCCTGCTGTTATTTTTGCTAACATATTAGCATGACTTGCGTAAATAATAAGGTTATTGAGATGAAATCATCATTATGCAAGTTCATTTGTTATCTTGATGCTCAATTCGACAGTCCGTTATTCCATGATGAACTATGTGTAGAGCTATTTTCCAGAAACTATTTTCCGTTTTTAAGCCCATGTTTAAACTCAGAGGAGTAATGACTGTAAATTATTGGATTGATAAGGGAACTCGACAGTTGAAAAACCGAAACAGTGATGGCGACAGCTGCGTTAACCTGAACAACACCTAACGACTCCATCAGTTCTTTTAATTGTGGCGTTCCCAGGCAAATCACAAAACCAAGAACTATCAGCACAAGCATTTGAAACGCTCTTCTTCTTGATTTAAATGCGGCTTGATTCAATACACGATCACGACTTTTTCTCCAAAGAAAGAGTGCGATTTTAGAGTAGGCACTACTTATTAACACTAGAGGCACAAGAAAACCTGAAATAAAATAAAATATTGCCAATATTTTTTTATTGGCACCGTCTTTTGTGGTGATGCAGATCTGAAAAACGTAAGTTGAGTTGGAATAATCGGCAAGATTAAAAGTAAAAGTACCAATTCCATCGTTGAAAAACTGTGGCAATGCGCAAACAGTGGAATATCCCCAAACAACCAAAATCCAACGAAAAAACTTGGGTTTACGGCGAAGATGTTGAAATGGTTTTGTGATGCTCTGGTGCCTGTCAAATGCAATGACAACCAAACTTGAAAAAACAGCAGTGTAGACAGTGTAAAGACATGTATCTGCGAATTTACAAAACAGCTCTGACCTGTTCCTCACAGGGAAGTATTTTGCAGCTACAAACCCTGGAATAACAACTAGACGATAGATCAGATCCGTGATCGATAAGTGAAAGAGCATGAAGTTTGACAAGTGTTTTTTAAAGCGACGACCTCGAACCAGTACGCGGCAGACTTGAACATTAGCGATGACTCCACAGATCACGAGTCCCAAAAAAGAGAAGCAAATGAGAAGAACCAAGGTCAAATTAGGAAGCGCTGAACTCAAAGATTGGATTTGTGGCTGAAAAATAGAGAAATTGGCCATAATTCACTGGAAAGGCTGAAAAAATACACTCGCCTTTAACTTTGAGTCAACGGCCCTGCATGTTTCAGGCGAGCGTTATTTGACAGAGTCAGCAGATGAAAAGTCAAACCAGTCACATCGTAGTAAAACGTTCATAAAAATAACTAGTTGAAAGACTTTCCGTGATATATAGTTGATCCTGCTGGTGTCGTTTCTGGCCTAAAATATAATCAAGACATGTAAATAAAAGGTCATTTAATTAAAAGCATCAGGTGAGTACATTTTTAATCGTGATGTTCTATTCGACAATCCGTTAATCAATAAAAAACTTTATCAAGGACTGTATCCGGTATGAAAATGGAGTTTATAAATTTTTTTCGACAAATCTGATAAGATTTTTAAATTCTATGGAACGAAAGATCAAATTAAGTTATTCATAGCATTGAAAGCGATAATAAATCAAAGTGCTCTGTGAGCAAACTCGTGAATTGACATACGATTTTTTAGATTATGTTTAATGTTATCTGGTTTAGGGAATTTTGTGGTTGATTGTCATATCTAGAGTACGAGCAGTAGTTCAGTGTTCGCTAATGCAGCAAAGAAACAAAGTAACGTTGGGATAAGAAGGCATTACAATTGAAATGATCATGCTATTACATTTGACAAGGTGGATGATGTCATGTGTTTTAAACGTCTATCATTTTTGTTTCTGGTTCAAAAGAAAAGGTTGGAAGTAAATGTGGGTGAAAAGTGAAATTTACTGTCTTTCGTTGTAAATAATAGAAAATCAAGGCAATACTGTCTTAATGAAAACATTAACGATTCCCTCTTTATCAAATGAGACAAACGGGAACGAGTTTTGAGTGATATAACTAAGCCAAGCCTGCCACCGTCGTTTTGGGTCTCCGCCTGGGTAGATTTAAGTCACGTGCTAGGCAACGTATAATCAAAAACAAGATAGAATTTCATTTCAGGCCTATTTATCAATTTTGTGGTGTGTAACTTTCGCATTTTAGTACGTTGTACGTATGTTGAATCTTCAAATTGTCTTGAAACCTAAAAGAAAATTGTTCTTTAAAAATTCACTGAAAATCGGTAGCTAAAAATTGTTTGTTTAGGTGTTATTTGATTTTCGTGTTAACTTGTTATTTCGTCAGTCGCCGGCATCTTTTGTTGCTTCACACAGGAAAAACACACGCGACGAAACGTAATGATCAATTTTGTCCTCAATCTCACGCTATATCTGTAAACTCCGAGCGCTTCGCAGTAAGTGATATTTTCAATGAATCTTCGGATTGTTTTCAAGTTCAAGGATTGTAAATTACAATTTTATGAAAAACGAAGGTTGTTCTGTTATTTCAGTGTGAATCCTTGCATGCCTGCCAGTCGCTGGCGCCGCTTGTTGAAACTAAAACGAAAAAAAAAACTCTTTTAAGATTATCATTGGCTTCTTTTTCACCCCACCACTATTCTTAGCAATAAAGGTCGCCATTTCGTCTGTTTTTTGCTCGCCAAAAACTATAAAATGCACTCAAAAGCCTAAAATCTAAAAAACGTTTACAGGAATCGACCAATCGAGCGAGCGAATGCCATTCCCCACATCGTATCTATAACTCGCTCTTGCGCATGCGCGCAAGAGCGAGTTAAAAATTGTCAGCTGAATGAGCTCATCTGTGGGTCTCTATCGATCGGTGCCGGATACTGATCAAAAACTTCATTAGGATTTTTATGGGCTGTGTACTTTATACTACATGGAACCAAAAAAACACCAACAACAATAATTTCAACAAAAACAAAGCAAGGTCGCTTCTCTAAGCAGAATCTTATCTAATCTACGTTTCAACGGGGAGGTCTCAGTCGCAGTAAAGTGTTGTAGGCGAAGGGATGGCCTGTAATTCAGGCGTCTTATCAGATCAAGAGTGAGTGAGCTCTGTACCGGGCACAAGCAAAAATCTCCCGCCCCCTCCGCCCTCCGTTCCTCCGTTCCCACAATCAAACCGAGTTAAACGATGACCGACTGCGAGTTTCTAGTGAGAGCTAACTCAGTAAAAACCTGGCAGTGTCAAAACGACAAATCGCACTCTTGCACACTTTACCAGTTATGGGCGTTTATTTCTGAATATAAAATTATAGCAACATAACAAGTACAAAATTAAAAGCGTATAACAGGTTTGTCAGAAACTGAATACATCATGGTATAAAACCGGTCGTATATTAAAAAAGGGCGAATGAATAGTACTAAATTAGTGTAACGATAATAATAATAATAACACAATAATAATAATAATAATAATAATAATTATGGTGATGATAGAAGATAACAATCTCAACGTTTCCATAATAATAATGCTATAGATAAGTTACGTGCGTAAAGAAATGGCACCTGTACAGTGAGAGAATGATCCTCTCATAAATTTCCGAATTCTTAGTTTAACTCATTTGATAGAGTACGTCATTACAGGCTATATTTTGAATCATTAGACGTACGTCAGGCTTGGTTTAGGCAGTTATTGCGTTCTCAAAGGTCTCACAAACGAGAGACATAAAAACTTACAATCATTTATTTATGTTGCATGTCCTTCATGATTGTTTTGGAATGGTTCTATGATCTGTTGTTTGACCAATAAGCACTAAGAAGTAACTTCTGCTACGCTAGATAGCAAATAACGCACTGCAAAAAGCAAAAAAAGGTTCGACTTTTCTGTACGTTACTGGCACTGCCACGGCAGACAATCTATCATGTGATCTCTGGCTTCAAAGGGCCTATCAGCTAATGTCGTATGGAGCAATCAGGAATTTCCTGACGACCAGGTCCATTTTAAGGAGCTTACATATAATTATAGCAAGTGATCGATATTGGCTTGTATTTACACAATTTTGCGAGCAACTTCACTTTGAGATTCAATAAAAAATAATGTAGCTATTCCTAATGACCCTCGGAACAATGCTCACTTCAAAAATTTAATGACGTACGATACGCCCCTAATCAAACCCAGCTGTCTCTTGAGACGTTTATGATTCGTTTCAAATAGGAACACGATAACAAGAGTGGTTCGTTTAAAACCACAGCTTCTCAATTCCGGGAACTGTTTTCCGCAGACGTCGACGTGCTCATCATACTAAGGAATTTTTTTTTTCGAATGTAGCAATCTTCGGTAATTCTCGGGCACCCGTCAGTTTCAATAAGGGATTTAAAATAAAGCAGATTCATTCAGCCTACGTCCGCCAAGATCTTCACATACAACAGGTCCTGACCATACTAGATCTCTTGACAACTGTCCCTTTCATCACAGGCATGTGAAGACTCTGGGTAGTCACTTGCCCGCGTGTAATTAGCGCGGTTGCGCAGCACACACCCATCTGACCAACAGGAGTGAAGCCATTTTCTGATCCCGGTAATCTCATCACGAACACTCCCACGTCAGCTTCGTGATTTTCCGTTGGTTGGATAGCAATAGCCGATAGTGGTTTCTGTACCAAAAATAAAGACATATTAATTTGAGAACATGGCGAAAAGAGGTGGCACTCTTCAAAAGGTGACCAAGCAAGTATTAGTATGTATCGCGCACAAGAAATAGTCGGTTGATGCCTTTGGGAGTGCCTGTGCCAGTTACAGGAACGACGGAACAACACTTGGAAACAATGAGATGTCGATATAAAGCGCGGCTTCCGTTATGCGCCGTGACCAGTTGACGAAAAGAAGAAAACGAAACAATGAGAATTCGAAGGTAATAGCCATGATTAACACCAAAAGAGAGAAGAACCAAATTAGGATTGTGTATTTGAGCTCGCATATGATTTGTGGAGTAAATGGCGCGACTTTGTAATCTAATCAAAGGGTGACGTGAAGTAAACCAAAACAGTCCTGAATTACTTTAGCGACAAGTCAACCATAGCCAAAGGAACATCTGTCTCCATGACAAACGCTTTTAATCAAAACTATAACAAAATTCTCGAACGTGATTGGTTATCACCAGCCTTATTTGAGCACTAATAGGACAGTGTACGCGTCATGCTTGTAATTGGACACTGCAATAGGACAATTGTGGGGACAGTTAATACGTCAAGCCTGTGTAAGTGGACAAAACGCGTCATGTGTGCGCGCTGTTGTCTCGCATTTCGCCGAGTTAACTGTTGTCTTTTTATGAAAACGTATAACCGATGACAAGTTCCTTTCTCAAATTTTGTCATAGTTTTGATTAATTGGTAACAGGAATTTGTGTTGTCCAATTGTCTGTAATCATACTCGTGATGAACAAATCTGACTCCCGCTTCGCGCTCGTCCGATTTTGTTTATCACTTGTGTGATTACAGACAGAATTGGACTCCACTCGGTCCTATTACCATCATTAATCTCAAGACCACAGGAGAAATTACCGATAAATTGCTAGGTAATTGGGGTGATAATCTTCAGCAAAACTTCACAAACAACAAACATAGAACGTGCTAATGAAACCTACCTTCTTTGTTTCTAGTTGAACTGGCTCTGTGAGAGCCAAACCCACTTTGGCAAATGGTCGGCTGGCCATTAGTTTCATCTCTTCATGACGATGCTGCGAGTAAAAAATGCGTTCATCAGTCAACTGATTGGAATTAAACTTAGTGTGGTCAGAGAAAACATTGAAAAAGTAGGTTTATCTCGCACAATTTCGCAAGTGCAACGACAAACCTCGGTACAACTGGTCAGGGTTGGATCTTTATTTAGCACGAAAGGCAGAAACATTGGTTTTAAATTGTTTTCTCTCGCTTCATAACCTTCGTGTTTAAGGAGATCCCGAACAGTTTGGAACTGAAGTTAAAATAAATCGAAAGAACTGGATGGTAAGAGCAAAAAAAAACGGTTCTAACAGTTCGGCTCGATACAATAATTAGTAGCATTATTTTTCAAGAAACCGTAAACTTTCAAGAGTACGCGCGCCGGAAGGTTTCTTACCCGAGCCATGACATAGTTTGAATATCTGACTTTAATCTTCCACGCAAGGGCCACCACGAACAGAAGGGAAAAGAAACAGCTGCAATAAAAAAGGAAAAATGACCATCTCGAAAAAAAAACACACCAAACTTGTTTATAGGATAAAGGAAGAATTCCCACCCCTCACATCCCCTTCAGAAATTCTCTCTTCTTTAACAACGCAGGAAATTTGAAGCAATAGTCGACAAACGAATAAGGAGCTAACTTCGAAACGATGTCCTAACTTCTCCCTATAATTTGTTATCAATACACTGTCCAGCAAACAGGTAATATGAATATTCACATTCACATTTAAGTAGTTATCTTGATCTAACACCAAATTCCCATAACTATTTCACAAGGAAATGAGCAGCAGCTAGAAGGGATGATAAAACAACAAGAATTGTACAGTATCCTAAAAAAACAAGCGCTAGAAAGAGTTCTACTTACGCGAAAAACGTAATAAAGAAGTTGAGAATCAGGAACTTGCGACTCTGGAGGAACGCAATCTAAAAAACATTTTCCAAACGCATAAAATTAGTTAGCATATCCAGTGGCAGATAAAAGAAAAGATGAAGGATGAGGGTGTGACAGTAAAGGATAAGAAGAAATAAAACTACATGACAAAGTAACTTTGACACACGGAACCTAAAAAGCAGATCTCTTTGAGAAGTTAATCCAAGTGAGTTTATCAGGACATACCTCAAGGGTAATGAATCCTTTGATGTCAAAAATGTGAACCTTAAAGGTGAATTTGTCCCGGCGGCCAAACGGAAAGACGCCATATGAGAAGGTTTGCTGGTAGGACCCTATTTCCCGAGAGTGCACGAGTGTTTCTTCCTCTGAAGCATCTGTGAGAGAAAGAGAGCATTCTATAAGTCAAACTCATTGAACGTTGATCAAAATAACAGGAGAGCTCCAATGCTGACATACATGTAGCTAAGCTTTTTGCTTTCAAATGCAGACAAAAACACAAACAATCATAAACAAATATAAGATCAATCTTACTGCAAAGATAGCAAAAAGGTATGTCTTTTTAATAAAAATGTCGGTAGCATCGAGATAATATTGAACAGCTTCAGTCAATTCAACTTAGAGCGACGTGATTGCACTTGGGGGCGAAATCAAGCAGCTTGAGGGCGACGTGACTTGGGCCGACATGGCGAGAGCAGCATTAGAGCTAGTTCGTCTTCTTTTCTTAGGGTCGAAACTTTCGACTGAAACTGAAACTTACTTTTATTCTCGCTGCCGTCGAGTAACTCAGCCATTGTAGAAGCTTATATTGACATTGATACCCTCCCTTGCTAGCTAAGCACGAAAGAACGCCGTCGTATGTTTAACTATAATACTTGTGATAGTATTAGGCGATTCTCTATCAGCTAACCTGAGCTGTACGACAAATTCATCAGAGCAGACTTGCCCTCTTTGACTCTCACAGTAATTTCCACATCGATGTCGTCCTGTAAGGAAGTTAACTTGCTGTTTTAAAGAATTTTTAACAAATTAAACTGATAACCGTGAAAACTAATCTAATCTTTTACCGGTTGAGAAGTTCAAGAAACCGCCAATTGGAAATTTCTTTTGCTTAGACAACGTCCCTCAACGTAATACAAGGTTTAACTCTCATTTTTCTTCGGAAAAATATTTATCTCTATATTCTCATTATGAGATAAGTGAGGAAATATTTTCGCATTTTTCTGCAAAGTCCATTTACAATGATAACTTAAACCCCCAATACCTCATTCAAAATTCTCCTTTAAGCTATTGTTCACTCCTTTGTAGATACGTTCACAAAAAGTTTTTTTAATCTATTACACCATCTGGCTTGTATAGGTTGGCAATTCTCATCAAATAAAAACTGCTAAATTTTTGCAAGAAAGTCCATTTTTACCACTTTAAAGGAGTTTCAAAAGGGTTTAACAGTCTCCTGGTTGAAAGGAGAATGGTTCGAGAGCAGCAACGCCACAAATTACCTATAGATTTTTAATGTCATCCCTCTAAAATTAACAGATCAAAAGGTTTTTTTTTGTGGAACCGAAATGTTAGAAGCAACTGCAGAGATCAGCTCACCTTTTCAGGAATGTTGAGGAAGCTTATTCTTGTCTTGTTGGACACATTGTACGTGTATTCATAATTACTGTTGAGTTTATCTACCAAACAAATATGCAGTGGTGTTTCTATTAAGCGCATTAACATACCAGTGAGTTTACAATTTTATGAGGGTAATACCTCAGCTCAAGAGATTATAACCTCAGTTTACATTCTCTTGTTCAGCTTTAGTCTCCAGTGCAGATGGCTTGGAGGGAACTTCGTTTGAATTTAAGGGGAGAGGTGTTGAATAAAATACTTTTTAACATCACTTTTTTTCCGAGTGAATTTCTTCCTTTCCAAAGTCTTCCTCTGCTTTTACAATCCAGCCAGGCAGGCTTACTCAGCATGCAAGATGCACACAAGATGGACTGTAATCTGATTTAAATACTCCCAGTGAAATAAGGATAAAAACTATATTTCTCTCACAGACTCGTTACTGTTATGAAGGAAAAAAGTGTTTTTGCTTGCTTTTGTTTTTGGCTCGTCAAGCAGTCGTTGCCTCTGCCTTTGAACTGAGAAGAGCGTTACAAACACGAATAGATTGGTCTAGCATGACCGCTAAGTAAGTTAGGGATTAGAAGGAAATCTTTCTTTAGTAAAATTAAATAACTTACTGTAACAGTGACCGCCATTTGTTGCGTTACCAACGATCACCGTGGAACGAACTCCGTCGTCACATCTGTGAAAGAGTAAATCAGGTTACAATCTTTCAATTCCACAGCGAGAAATGCTTGGTAAAATTGCTTTGGTACGAAGAATTTCAAGCGCAAGGAGACATTTTGTAAGCAACGACTGAACTTACCTTTCGCAGTTATCCCCAGTCACATAACGGTCAAAACAATCACAGACTCCAGTCTTATCATCACATGTGTCCGCGTGACCGTTACATTGGCAAGCTAGAGACAAGATGAACAAGACAATCACGCTTTTTTCACTATTGTGTTACATGGAACTTTTGCAGGTACCAATATTTTCCGATTTCATAAATTGTTCTCGATCCGTAAAAATTAACTATAGCAAAAGCAAAAATTCCGTCTAAATTTTGACATCTTCAGTAACATGAAAAACTCCGCATGCGAACCAAGTGTTGAGGTTAACGCGCGTCTCCGAGTCACTATAAATTTTCCCTGAGATCTCAAACCCCAGTGTCTCGAACATTTGTGGCACGCTCCTTAGCGTGTTTTTGGATAAGTGTGTCATTTCACCGATGAGTCTCCCCAATATCTGCCCCCCCCCCCCCACCCCTGTTAGTTTCTCGAACTTGAGGCGCGACCCCGAACGAATAGTTGTGTCAGGGTCACATTTTAATCTCACCCTGATATCCTAGACCTCACTGCGTCCCATTTTCGCTGTTCCTCCTCGAGAATGTCGGAAGAATAGATCTTAAATCTACACGTTGTTGTATTATGAGATCACGATTCATCTGCTTTTCTCTCAATCATCTTTGAGGAAGAAGGTTGCAGTTCTTCAACTATTAATAACTACAATGAACTAGAAACGATTTACAGTACCTTCACACTTTCCACCATTCTTTGCATCACCGAAATAACCAGCCGCACACACCTCACAATGAGGCCCTGCAAAACAGTAAAACGGCAACAATTTAAGTTATACAAAACATAGAAAATAATAAATCTAGTGACGTAATGTTAAAAGAAAACAATAACTATAAGGTTGATAATACAAAAAAAAAAAAAAAAAGAGAAGGACAAGCCAAAAGGGGAATTGCCAAGATCGAACTAAAAAAATTGGGCTCAGTTTTTCGCGACACCCAATCCGTAAGTATCTAATTAAAGAAACTGTGTTGCTGCGTCGATGAAGTATCACAGGATAATTTGGTTTAATAAACTGGGATGATGTAATTTGGCCACCGTAAAGAGTTTCTAAAGCTTTAGGAATTCTTTTCAGCGGCCATTTCACATTATCAATCCAGTTAATAGAACAAAATTAATAAGATTAACAATCTGGCGTAACTGACAACTTGAGTTTAAAAAAAGGAAAACGTTTTTCCGTGGCTTCAAGAGGCAGTTTTAACTCACCGTCCGTCTGATGCTCGCACTTTTCACAGATGTTCTTATTGATGCATTTGCTGTGTCCATTACACTGGCAATCTATACAAGAATACAAAGGGCTCTTGTTTAGTAAGGAATCAATTAACAAACTTATAACTTGGAGAGGAGAAGAGCATTTTAGATTCAAACATAACTCGAGCTCTTCAACATGACGCCTTCACACAGTCCACCAGTGTGAGTAAGTTGGATAAAGGGGTAAGTTTCTAAAGAAACTGTGGTGCTGCGTCGGTGGGAGAGTATAGCAGGTAATTTAGTGTTAACAACTGGGTTGAAAACGTAAATTAGCCACCGTAAAGGGTAAAAAAGCTGACGTTTCGAGCGTTAGCCCTTCGTCAGAAGGGCTAACGCTCGAAACGTCAGCTTTTTTACCCTTTACGGTGGCTAATTTCCTTTTTCAACCCAGTTGTTAACACTAAATTACCTGAGTAAGTTGGAGCTTACTGTAATACAAAAATAAGTGGAGTTTTATTTCTTGCAGCAGCCGAGAACGTGGACCACTTAGTGTTATAAATACTGAAAAAATGCGAAGGGCACACTCAGGGGAATGACGTTAAGAACAAGGCAACCGTCTCTTAACCATTTGACCCCTTAGAGTGATGATCATCTAATTTCTCCTCATAATAATACGCCTGAATCACACATTATGGTCACGAGAATAAAGGAAATGATCACCAACTCAGTCAAGAGGTTCTTGATTATTAAACAAATTCTCCTTAACAGCACCTTAGGAAATGTATAGGGAACAGTATAGAGAATATGCATCCTAATGTTAAGGTGTCAAGGCTAAATCTACCTGGACACTTCATAAAGTACCAGCGGTCTGCTAGGCATTGGTTCATTGAAGAGTTTGTTGGTTTAGTAAAAGGGCCATCATCTCCTCCGTCCATACACTGCCCCAACCCAGTCCCTGATCCGTCATCACACCAGCCACAACCAGGAAGGGTGTGGCAGTCAGCACAGGTCTTCATGCCGGAACAGCGCACAGCTTTTTAGAAGCAAACACAAATGCAAAGGATGACAAAAGTAAAGTAAAATGGACCTTATTCTGAAGAGAAATGTTTGTGATCAAGGATCTCAAGAAGAAGGTACTAAAAATCACCAAATAACACAACGTAGTTTTAAATGTTTAAATATGGCCATCTGAAATTTAGTAAAAAAAAGTTAAAATTCAGCTAAGGCTAATCAGTGGTGTCTTTCAGTTGACAGGGCTTTAGGGAAATACTGTGCGCCTTTGTTTTGATCGTTTCTTGTTTGCTTGCTTTTTAAAATCTTCAAAAGGGCCCTGTTGGTTGAACCAGCCATAAAATTTAAAACTTGTCTAAAAACTTTGGCGCTTCTTCACCAGCTTCACAAGTAAAACAAGATAAAGGCAAGTGCACAGTATCATACAATAAAACTTCTCTTACCACTCCTTAAAATCAATTTTTACCCGGCATTCTCCCATTTAGCCAATAATGAGAACTTTGATCTATCCAGCACAAGCTAATGTATAGTTTAACTTATATTTGCGGCAAAATTTCTCCTTATTGTACTAAAAACTACCTTATGTCAGAATTTATTAGCTTAATTCAATACTTCACTTGAGAGTTAACAAAGTCAATAATAGTAGCTAGCCCTCTCAGATATAACTGTTAGTGCATACTAACTTGAACACTTCCCTTGGACCCAACCACGACACTGGCCAAAAGGGAAATTCACAGTGTAGGCATTGTTAGCCACACAGAGCTTCTGTGACTCACACCACATACAACCTAATGCACATTCTTCACAAGATGTCGATTTGTGGCATGACTTCTCTTTACAATTTGAACCTGTAAGAATTATATTTTTGAACGTGAGACTCTACCGTGTGTCCACTGCCCTGTGTGGACAAGTATGAACCAAATATGATGCCTTGTGTTTTATCCCAGTGTAAGGCTACATGTACATTTGACAACCCTGTTAGCTTAGTAATTTTGTTTCCATGCCCTAACACAAGACTCTTCAAGGGAAAAAAGCTGAACAACCAGGTAACTGTGTCCAGTTTCCTTGTCATTCATCCTCTCCCCAACAGAATAGCCTGGTCCCTCACTGGTTGCCCTACCTCCAATTATTGTTCCATGGTGAAATTTTTAACTACCCTCCCTTTTGGTGGAAGTTAATGATATTAAATCCGCCTTTCTCTTTGGTAAACACAATACTTTCCATATCAGCAAAGACAATTATTGCAAACAAGAAAACCATACCAAAAAAAATAAATACAAATTTGACTAAGAAAGATAGACTAGAATTAATCACAAACCTTCACATTTCTTGTATGATGTTTGCTTTTTATCACACTTTGCTGGAGAATCAATTTTTTCCTATTGAAGAGAAGAGAAAACATTTAAGGGATTTAAAACAGGAAATCAAATCATCACAAGGTCATTGATTAATTTTAAAACATCATTAACCCTTTAACCCGTGAGAGTGACTAACATCATTCTGTACTTTCTCCTCACAATAACACTGCTGAATCATTCATTTGAGATCATGAAAGTAACGGAAATGATCACCAACTAAAGAAGCTCTTGATTGTTAAACAAATCCTGGAGAATAGCTTTACTAATGTTAGGTTGTAAAGGGTTAAGTACAAACCTGACCATCAGGACATGCTCCTTTCACACATATTCCTTCGCAATATGAACAGCCATGTAAACTGGAAGTACATCTACTACAACTGTCATTCATTTCTGAGCACTTTTTTTCCACTAAATTTAAACAAGGAAAAATTCAATTCCCACACACATAATAATAATTGTTTGGGAGTCCACTGAGGGTAACAGACCTTTAATGGAAAACTGATCTGTGCAACAAAGTTCTCACGTATTCAATTTACTGGGTGATCATAACCCTTACTTTACTCTTGGTAAATTTTAAACAATTATAGTGCACTACAAAAAATATCTCTTATCTCTTTGGGTGTGAGGTTTTGTTGGGCATTCTTCCAAGTCCAGAAATATTTTGACAAGCACACAGGGTGAGTCAAATTACAAAAAATGAGTGGAATACTCAGCAATACTAACCACCATGCTTTTCTTATCAGGAGGGAAAAGATTACACCAGATTGGCTATTTACAGTAGAAATAACTATACAATATAGCATGGGATTTTTGTACTCAATTTGTGTAACTATTTGTACTCCTCTTGGTGCAGTTGGATGATAAAAGAATGTATTGCACAATGCACATATTGCACTCTACCAGAATGAAAAGTTTTAAGTTGAAAAATACAATTCATTCTCCTTTGATGTGAATTACAAATGGATGAATTCATGTTTATGCAAGTTTCTAGACAGTCATACTGTCAGTTACTGCTGCTAAATGCACAAGAGATTATTTCACTAAAAACCATTTCTTAATTACATGTTTGGTTAAAATTAAGCCTTGGAGGAGATCAAACTAATGAAAAAAAAAAAGTACAAGTACTGTTGCTGGGTTTTTATTCAAGGTTAGAGTCAAGAGAGTATTCTCCTTAACTGAATTTAAGGGTAGGTCAGGCCGTTCAAATTGATAATTCAGTGAAGGAGTTACCTGTGACCTCTGGCTGTACACAACTCTCTGGTCCAATGCACAAAGAGGTGGAGTCATTCCATACGCACTCAGATGTGTTTAAGTGGTTTTGGCATGTTTCTTTATCCTTAATCAAATCACAAGGTCCTAAAACAAAATTAATAATCATAACATGTACATCTCTCAGTCATTTAGTATGGTGTCATTAGTCATAGCAAGGAAAAACCAATCAAAGTCAACACCTGTTTCTGTTCCCAGAATTCTCTAGTCACTAATTGCCATTGATTCTTATCTCTTGTGAACAAAATTAATGAAGGTCTGATTATTCAGTTTTCTTTTAAATTGTGTTTTCAGACTTATGTGCCAATAACTAATCAATATTGATGACCATCGTTATTCCATAACCATCACTCATCTGATACTGTTATGGATCTTAGTTTGCACTTGGGTCATAAATCCAAGGGCAAAAAACTTGTTCCATAACTCACAGCACAGGCCTTGAGTAAGTGGCACAAGCATGTTTATGTACTTAAAATGAAGAACTTTATTACATCAAAAAATTCACATGTACAAGCATACACTTTGTAGATGCTTTACAAATAGTAAGTTGAACTTCATTGCACTATTTGTAGGGCCTTGCTTATTAAGTCAAATGACAAATTATTCAACAAAACTTTTTTTGTTATTAATACTGAAATGGTCTGACTTTGCACCCAGGTGCTTATTTGCTCACTGCAGCTCCGGGGAGGACACTTTTTATGGTCAGGGTGCTTATTTCTATTTTGAGAAAAATTAGTGTTTGCAAAGAGCTTTGATGTTTATTAAAAGGAACGGAAGCTAAAACTGTTGAATAACAAATCTGTAGTGAATATTTTCATAGTAATGGTAGGGAATGTACTCTAGCAGTGCTATCACAGTACTGAAACAGAATAGGAGCTCTTACTGGATTAAGAGTACATGAAATATGGGCACTTTTTAGCTTAGGGGTGCTTTTTAACAAATACAAATTCCAGGGGGGCTCACAAGAGAGGGCACCAAATCAAATCATTTTGGTGAGCTCAATTGCACTTTTAATCAAAATTTGTATTTCATTATTGTTTACACTTTTTAAAATTGACTTCATATAACACTGGATGTGAGTTACACTTAACTACCTGGAGTGAATGATAAAATGTCACTAAAGACAACCCCTTGAAATCCTCCAAAAACATACATGGTTCTGTAATCAGAGAGAAAATAATTTTTTAATGATGGTGTACAGCTAGAATAATGAACTTTTTATAACAAGGTAAATTTTCATAATTATTGTAATTCAATGAAAATGTTTCCTTTGTTTTTGAGTCAACTAATGTCATTTCATGGCCATGGGTGAACACAATAAAATTGAAACATAAAACCTACAGACATGAATTCAGCCTCCAAATTGAAAATTTACCATTGATGCAACATTAAAAAAAATATACCAAAGGCATTCTTTGGTCATGATAAAAATTATAAATGATAGGATTATCAAAGACTCCATCTTTTAACATCATACATGAACACAATTTTCCACTGCCAAAAAGTCATTGCCAGTTTGTTCTATACAATCCTGTTTTACCTGTTGACTTGCACAGCAGTGTGTCCATAACGTCCAGCAGATTTTAAAAGTCCTGACTCAGGCATCCTCTTCCACTCATCACAGGCTGAAACATCACACAGTATTAATAATATGTTGAATATTATGTGTGCAATTCAAATTTGTTTTCATTTTCCAGGTTAACTGGAAGTTAAATTGTCTGCCCTGCACAGAAAAATACATTGAAAAACACCCTGACAAATAAAACATTGTGGGTCAGGGTAATTTAAATGAAATTCAACAATCTTATAGAGACACTGCCCAGCAAGAAATCTTTTTTCAGCTCAGAAAAGAGAAACTTCAGAACTCTTTCCCTTTTCTTCATTGCCTTATATACATTTTTGGACATTTCAAGGTCTTTAAATTTGGCCAGCAGATTTCCATTTTCTTTCTTTTGGTCATTCAAGACCTGATATGAACCCTGATAGATGTAAAAGGGATCATAAGATACATGACTGTATAAGTTTACCTGGTACATATAATTGACTCAACTTACTCAAGCTGTATGCAACAAAGTCCATGGAAAAGCACGGAAAGTCAGACTGCCCCTGTGATGTACCATTGTGTGAACTACCACCAAATACTAACATCAGGTCACCCAGTAAAACAGCAGAATGCAGAAAGCGAGGAAAACTGCTGTTTTTGAGAGATTTCCTACAATAGGGTTTCACAAAAAAATTAACTCTTTAATCTCTAGGAGTGACAAGCATCCAATTTCCCCTTACAATATCAACTCTGAGTCAAAGATTTTGGTCACAGGAATAAAGGATATGATCGCAAACCTAGAACCTACAGTAGCTAGGAAGCCTTGATCAACAATGATATTCTCCTAAAATGTATAGAGAAGAGTATGGAGAATATGGATACTGATGTTAAGGTGTAAAGGGTTAATATAAAATGTTCAATGGTACATTTATTACTCTACTGAGCTCTGCCATTGAATATTACTGAACTCTCGAGGAAAAAAGAAAAAACCTTTTAAGACTCCCCTAATAAGTACATGTACATGGCACATGATTCTGTTCAAATCCTCTTACAGGAACATACCATATCCTTGCTTTTGGATCATAAGATGTCAGTGCAGTAGAGAGCTTATCAGAACCCACTGAGGCAATCCCACCGTAAACGTAGATTAATTTCCCCACTGGATCATAAACACTGCTGTGTCCATATGACGGGGCAATAATCTCTGTGGGAGTCGTGTATATGCTCCATTTTCCAGTCTCTGTAAATAGAATTAAAAAGAAAAGTAACATGTTGGCAGCACAATTATAACACTATTTTTATGATCATGTTAGAATTATTACAACTTAAAAATCAGTATTAATCCAAAAAGATTGTGTGCTTGCTACATGTAATGGATTTCACTTTTGTCTGCGAGCCCTTAGTTCAAATAATGTCCCCATAACCAGCACATACATTGGGCCATACACCTCAAAGCAGGGGAACAGGCTGGCAATTTAATCACATTTAATTGTCACTGGAAAGACAAAAAACAAACAAACAAACAAACAATTTGAGTACAAAGCAGAATTCAGTTTAGGCAACAGTTTTCAAGGCTTCTGTCGTATGTACATGCTGTTTTGGATAGAAAGTTCAATTTACATGTGGTGGCTCCACCAACAAAATTAACTGTGCATGATAATAATGCTTCTGAAACAGCTATGTAAAGGAGTTTAAAATGACTCCACTTGTCTGTAATTGGCTATAATTTCTAGGTATGGGCAAAATTGACTGATGCACAATTGAAAGTATTTTACCCAAGTCAAATTCTTGAACTCTGTCTGTATAGCCTCTATTGGGTCCAAAACCAAACAGGACAATCATTGTGGAGTCAACCAGAGTAGCTGTGTGTCCAGCGACGTAAAGAGGGGAATCACCATCACTGGTTACCAAGTCCCACTCTAGCTTTTCAGTATCGAAAGACCATAGTTGATTGGTTGCTTTTTTTCCTATTCTACCACCGAATATATACAGGGTTGACTGTGAAAATAAAATAATTATACAAAACATCAGAATGACTGTAAATTAGAAACTCATAGGGTTAGGTTGGTTAAAAAATGGTCACACTCTCAAATGAATGATAAATGAATGAATGAGAGAAAAATAAATGAACAGACAGACAAACATAAAAAAAGTAAAAATAATGGATTGAATAATTGACTGACTGAAACCTGAACAGGCATTAAGTAAAACACGACTATCAACCTTTGGCCTATGCAAAATATCATTAAGTTTAAACTTAGAGGGAAATACTAAGGAGAGAAGGGTGGATTGTATGAAGTAAATTAAATGGCGAGGGAACACAAACTAATAAATATAAAATATCTTAAATGATTACAAATGTTATAGTATCTTATCTTATAATATGATTATTTGTAGACATCTTTGCATGTGCATACCAATATTCTGTGACCATTTATTTTGATGTTATCCATGATCAATAAACTGGAGTGTGATTTATTGTGAGACTAGAAATCTACTTGTTTGAATAAAACTTTCTTTTTCAATGCAATATACAATAAATAACCACTGGCACTTACATTATAAGCAATCATTGAGTGACCATAACGCCTGGATGGACCCCTGGTTGAATTGACAGCTGGCAATATTACTTGCCAACTGTCACTAGGAATGTGATATCTGGAAAATGCAAATATTGGATAATGATACATTTAACATTCAGCTTTATCCAAGGTAGCCTACAGAACAAGCAAATTAGCAGGGCTGAAGTGTGATACACAAGTGTACGCAAAGCACAAGAATGAGCGCAATGCATTCTTGCCCTTCAGCATGCCAATCCACCTGTTCTGCAGGGTATATCTAAAGAGAATTCAGAAACTTATTTCTTGATCTCATTTTTTGATTGGCTCCATCAGTGCCACTTTGAAGTACAGTTGTACATTCTAGTTCTGCTCCCTGACCATTCTCATTTTCAGGAGGTAACCAGTAAAAATTTGCTGCCCTTGAAGCACATGTACTTCTTGAGACCACCTAACATGCTTACAATTCTTGAAAATTCAACAGGTAAAAGGATTGCTCTAACAGTGTTAAAATTTCTTCAGGTTATGCCTATCAAAAAGGAGAAAATTGTTCTCTAACTTCCACTTATGTTGACTCAACAGATCAAGACCCATCTCATAAACTTTCTCCCTTCAACCCTAATGCACAGTCATCACTAAAAACAATTCAGCCATCCTTTAGCGACACAACTCCACCTTGATCTAGGTGTGACAACATGACTCATCAGTATTAACAAAAAAGAGTACTCTACCTGATAAGGTTCTCAAATGGCTCTGAGGTTAATGAATAGCCACCAAAGACCCACATGTAGTCACCCAGAAGAGCAGAAGCATGAGATGCTCGGCCTTGAATTAGGTCTGTATATCAAATGCAAAAAAATAAAGGCTATTAGAAATAATTTAAAGTGAACAAATGTACCACTGTTGACTTCCTATCCACTAGGTAAGCTGATTATATCTGAATACACTTCAAAACCTTACCTTGGCCTGTTGATGAATGGTGTATCCAGTGCCCTCTGTCTCCTGTAATATTGCAAGAGGCACCTGTATGACCAGTAAAATATATTCAAGTTATTGTTCCCCAAGGTTTACATAATATGTGTTGCATTGAGTAGACAACAAGTAAAGTGGAGCTGTGATTGTATGATGGGTTTGTTAAGAAAACTTTTTTCATGGTTTTGTAGCCAAGTGGCTCATAACTGCTGATATTTGTCTCCCATTTCTGTAAAAGGTAATTGGGAGGATCTCTCTTCCCTCTGCCTGACCCTGTGGCCTTTAACCCAGTTGAATATTACTGAACTTGAGGATTCTAAATGAAGATAAAATATTTCCGATAGAAATTGGTATTTTTCAAAGAGAAATATGGAAAAATATCAGACCGCTGGACGTTTAGTAATTCGAAGACCGTGTCCAGTGAAAATTTTCTTAGTGTCATGCTTGGATCTCTTTGCACTCTGTGTACTCTGTGTACAAGGTCAGCAAAATAGACAACATTGGAATTTTTTCACTTTCTAGAAGCACTTGAGGATTGTAAATGAAGGTAGAATATTTTTCAATGAAAAATTGGTATAGTTCAAAGAGAAAAATGGAGTTATTTGAGGATTTTGAAGAGAAATATGGAAAAATATTGGAGAGCCGGATGTTTAATTAATTTAAGTTTGGTAACTTCATTTCAGGAATGTCAGTGACACTGACAGTTTGCATTACAATTCTTATTTCCTGCTTTGCATGGACAATGACCTCAACCAATCTTTTGAGCGCAAGCTCCTCTCCATGGGCAGGAAACTTCAGCTGACCCTTGGCCCTTGGTCTCATTTAACAAGGATGGCAAACTTCAATTAAAAAAAATTGACGAATGGATGAAAACATGGTGGATCAACATTTTCACCTTCTTCGAAATGCTCGCAAGGATTTTTGTGTTCCTCTTTAGCAACAACCGATCCATAAGCATTAAATGCTTATGGATTGGTTTTAATTAATTTTGTAGATTCTGAGGCAGTAAATTTTACTGCCTCAGAATCTACAAAATTAATGGATTCATCCAATTCCATGCCAGATTAAAATGTATAGAACTGTTTTAAACAGAATTATTTTGACAAGCTCTTCAATTCATCTGAGAAAACGCAGAAGGTATTTTAAGACAATGTGACAAGGTAAAAATAACTGACCAATCAGAGGCACTATTTAAACAAAATATGGTTCAAAAATAAACAGACCGACTGCGTTGCATCAAGGTTGGAAATGGGCCTTTAAATAAAACACAGAGTGGATGTTGACAGAGCAGATTGGTAAGAATCATATTCCTTTGAACAAGTGCTCATGCTCTAATAAGTGCCCTTCCCCAAATATGCGCTCATTCCCACTGTATTTAATTAATGTCAAATAAGCACTTGAGGATTGTAAATGATGGTAGGGATATTTTCCAACAAAAAATTGTTAGTTCAATGAGAAATATGGAGTTTTTGAGCTTTGACTTCAGCAGAATGGGTTATGGAGAATAATAAGCACCCCCCTTAATTAAGCACCCTCCTTCCAATAAATGCCTCTCTTTTTAGCCAAAATTTTTAAATATTAAAAAGCAACAGGGCATTTATTCAAGGGAATACCTTAACCCAGGAGTAGCATGGTGTAAATGCCCTCAGAAAAATCTTAGCTATGCCCATGATACATACCCACCAAAGTTACTGTAGTACATTGCAACAGTTTGGAAACCAGAAATTAAGACAGAAAGTTGCCAACTTGAAACCAATTGACGAAAGTGAAAGAAAGAGGACTGACCGTGCAATTGAAAACAATTGATTTAGGAGAAAATAAAAACACATGTAGGAAAATTACACACTCAGAAAAATGTTGAACAGACAGCAAAAATGGAGGTGTTATAAAAATTCAAACTTACCAGTGAATCCCGAGTCACACACACACAGTCTTGTGCTGTTATCACAGTATCCATTGACACACTCAGTTATACAGGTCTGAATATCACAACTGGGACCAGTCCATCCTGCATCACAGACACAGAGTTCATTTGAATCACAGTGGCCATGGAAACTGCATCTTGCTGAACAATCTTTGGTGATGCTAAAAAGAGAAAATAAGATGAGAAAATTGATGACATCTCAAACATACTGCCAAGTCTATGCAACCCTGATATCAGCCACCTGCCAGAAGGGAAAGAGCACAGGTGCTGAGCCATCACACTAGTGAAACTGACAAAACCTGAAGGGGAAAAAAGCAGGGCACCCTATTAGCAGCACCCCCACATTCAACTTCAAGCACCAGCAAAAGCTAACTGAATGCCAAATACCATGTACTGTCTACTTAGCTCTGAAAGAAAGTGCACACCCCAGAGCTACTGAGGGTATGATCTTTGTTGAGTGTATGTGACCTATGCAGTTCAGACAGCTATACTTCAACTAAAATAATGAAGCAACACCAAAGCTTACCTATATCTTATCCTGAATCCATCTTCAACATAGTATTTATCACTATAAAAATAGAGAAATGCTGCCCCTGATTTGGCTTCAAACTGTAGCACCGGACCATCAGCGAATCTGTCTTTCGATGCATCTCTAATAATTCCACTGTATAATGGTATAAATAACATGTAGAAAACCTTTCATGCCTAACAACTTGAAGTATGAATGCTTAAGAGTCATAACAATATCCACATAAAAGGTCAGTTTTAAAGGTTCTCTGTTGGCAAGAATTATGACATAATTAAATAGGGTCTAAGTAGGGTAATTGAATGGTGAGTCTTAAAGGTGGGATAATCAGCCAGTTCTGTTAAAAAATACTGAACCATGCACAGAGAACATATGTATGCTATGAAAAGGCAAATCTTAACGTTCAGCTGGGGGATAGTCAACAGTTTACAAAGCCATGCTTGCAATACTTGACAATAACATTTTGACAGCAAAAAAATTTATGCAGAACAGATTAGTCAAGAGTGTCCAAAGAGTTGTGCTGAAGGTCATTGTATTGCAGACACCTTACTTTCCATCCACATGCTACAAGGGAGTTTAGTTTTGTTCTCACTCCTGACCCAAAGAGCACAAATGCAATTTTCAATCAATATGATGAATGGGTCATGATCTGTCTGGTAAAAGAACTTTGCCATATGTGTGTATTATATCAGTTAATATTGCTCAATACCTTATCACGGCTATTAAAGGACTTTTGACAGACTTTCCATCATAAATATACAAATTATCCCAAATACACTCAGTTGCAACTTCTTCCAAATTCAAATGAATAGTGCTATTTGGCCTGCAAATTTTAAAAATAAATTCTAAATTAGTTTCTATAAACAGTCACTGTCAGCACAAAATAGATCTTGGTTCTCTAGGTGTATAAATAGTGCAAATAAAAACAACTTGGGCATCACCATAGGAGTACTACCAATAAAATGCAATATTACAGCAAAGTCAGTGTACAACCTCTCCCCCACCTCCTTTTATGAATTATTCTGACATGCAAGTTTAGAAACATGTCACAGCCAGTTATAAATTATATTTTACTATTATAACACAAGGAAATAAAGAAACTACAAAGACAGAACAAGGCAGAAGGCAGCAGACTTGAGTATAAATTAAAAAGGAGGTTTTGAACATCAGATATCTGAAACTTTGGGTTTTTCAACTACTACAAGGAAATGTAAAAAAGTATAAGAATACAAGCTCAGTGTAAATGAAACTGTTGAAGCTTTATAAGATAACTGACTTTTTGAATGAATGCTTTTATGGGCAGAACACAATGTCAAAAGAAAAGATTAATCTAAAAGATACCAACTTACTTTTTGGATTCTATTAGCCATGAGCATTTTGATGCACTGGCATATTTACCATCTCCATCAGTAATTATTCCACTATCTTGGTCCAGTCTAAAATTAAGAAATCAAACCTACATCACTATAACTATCAACTCTAAAAAATATTTAACTAAATATTAAATTTTGCCACAGTGGAACCTTCAAACAAAACCACCCCAAGGACAGAGAAAAAAGGCTATTAGGGAGTGAGGAGTGTAATATAACATCTGTATTTTGTGACTGACATGTTTTAAAACATTTTATTTACCAAATAGATTCCAAGTTGTCATGCATCTGTGCTCTACTATAGATAATTTTTATATGCAAAATGCAGTATGCAATATTAGTAATTTTGTAATAATGATAGATTTTTAACTAGTTTGTAATTAGTTTGTAATAATTATGGAAGAGCCACCCCTCCAATGAATATGCTAATAAACCATTATTATTATTATTATTATTATTAAGATGACCTCAAGTTGTGATAAGGAAAAAAAGTAGCACATGATGGGCAGCAGAATATCACTGATGTTCTTGCCATATTTTGACGTCTTCTGTAACAATTAATGTAAAATAGAATCTATTTGTTTTGTTCGATAAAAAAACAAAATGTTCAAGTGGTGACATCATCAATGCATCTGTCCACCAATATATAATAAGTAAGTGCCAATCAAAATGCCTGTAAAAATTCAGCTTATCATATAATTCTTCCACATAAGTGTTAATACAATAACAATCAACTCATGGGAGAAAAAAAAACAAAATGCTAGACAAAATGCTCACAGAACTATCAAAACAAGTCAGGTAAAGTGAACTGTCTGGCTTGCGAAATATTACCTTTGGTATTGCGGATGCTGTATTTTCTCCAAAAGATTTGAATACAGCTGTCACGGACTATCTGGTTGGATGATTGATCAATTATTTTGCTATATCATAGCAAGACACTGATGAATTGACCATTGTCATGAAGTTGTTTTAATTGGTGGTTGAGACCCTTTAAGTGTTACCTGCTGTTGGGAATAGGTGGCTATATAGAAGGGTTAGAATTGGAATGAAAGTAACGACCAATTGTCGAGAGAAAAAAAAGTGGCTGTTGTGGGAAGGTGATCATGGATGAGAAGTGACTGTTACTGGGTGTTTCATTATACCAGAAGCTGAATCTTACACACATTTTGCATGATTGCTTTATGATCTGTTGGAGGACAGATGCACTGATAATGCCAACATTGCAGGCATTCTGCTTTTTTTATTATTTAGAACAAATATATTCCAAGTTGTTGTGTTTCTGTGTCGTCACAGATCAAAGAAGAAGTCAAAATCTGGTGAGAACATCAGTGACACACACAGCTGTGCCTTGCGTGCCACTTTTTAAAGTTCTCACCACATTTTGATGTCATCTGTGACAGCCACATGGAATCTATTTGTCAATTATGTCAGAAAGGATTAAAGCCAGTGCAAGAAAAATTCTGACTGGTTTGCATTTGGACAAAAACATATGCAGTAAATGTCTCCTTTAATGAAAATAACAGTTAACAAATGCTTCTTTCGAAATCAAAAGGAATCTTGCAATTATGTCTAACAAATTTCATGGAGGTTTGTATTTTATTTTTTAGCTCTCAAAAAACCACTGTACACACTAACAAGAACATACAAACATCACAAAGCGAAGTCAACTTAAAACAAACCATCCATCGATGTCAATATAAGTTTTTGCCGACGAATCGTGTTGACACACGGTTGTTTTTGTCAGCCTATCTGAAATCGGGATTTCTTAGTTAGAGAAAACTTCCTGCATGAATCCAAGATTAAGAATAATTCATCTTTAAAAAAAAGTTATTAACTTTCGACTTGCTTTCACTAATTTTTAAACAAACCCATTTCCGTTTAAGAGAAAATTCAGGAAAATTTTAATACTAATCAATTAACAACTATGTTTCAACACAACTTTACCATAAAAGGTTGCGACGACCTCCTTCTTTTTGGCTTGGGGAGAGGCGTAAATCAAGAATTGCAAACTCGAAAAGTGACTTTCTTAGATTTAAGACTCCAAAGAATTCATCTCTGCACAGCTGACAGTACATAATATTACATAAGCATACAGTTGGACCAAAATAGCACTTTCTTTGAGGCGACAGACTAATCAATAACAGCAACACAGATTTTCCAACACAAAGCGTCGCACATATAGTGTAATACTTAAATATACATGATTTTAAAATAACCAATTCTAGGTAATAAATCAAGGAAATCGAAGCTAATATAATGGACAAACAACTCAAGAACATAGCATCTTACCTGAGGCGACAAAACTGGCAAAGATTTCCCCACCATCCTGGATTGCAAATACACATACCCGCTCTACAGTAGCCATTTTTACAGTCGCTATTCTTGTCACACTGGTTTGAAAGCGAAACGAAACATCCTAATACCACAAAAAGAACAAAAATGAGTGTCGACATAGACCTCCGTATACTACTCACAACAAACATGGCGGAATCATTTTCTACGATCAAGTTCGCCAAACAAAAATTTCAGATGAGAGCCAGCGATAAGACGCGCTGACTTGCGTGCGTGGATAGAGAGCCTCGCGACTCCTCGCACGTGATTCACGAACTGTGAGGCTCCCGCGCGAAAGTTGATTGAGTTTAGAAATACAAAAAGAATTGAGGTTTGATCTTCGAACGAATTTAACCCTCATTTCGCTTGAGAGATTGTTTCTTTTTTTTTTCCTTCCCCCTCTCCCCCACCGCTACAGCTTCAATGCAGCTGTCTATATCCGGTTAGATCGCTCCAACCAAAAGTTAGATCGCTCCACTCGGAAGTAAGATCGCTCCATCAAATAAGTTACTTCGCTACCAACAGTTATTTCGCTCCATGTTGTATTACTTACCGATGATCTTTAAAGTTTGTAGGTGATGATGAGTCTTGGGACGATTCAAGTACATCGTACTCACTCTGTCCTTCAGATTAGCCATCGAGCTACCGATGTATGATGTATATCGATAATGGAATAAATGATCGTGGAATAAATTATAACGTTATAGTCGGAAGTGTACTGAAAAAGATCATTCAAATATCAATACTATCCAGTGTGGCTTTTTTTGCTGTTTGATGTAAGGAAACTGATATCCGCCATCTTTAATGAATAAAGTAGATTACACTTGGTGAGTTCCTTGCATGAGGCTTTATTTGTACTTTCTGCGTAGCTCGGATTTATGTCAAGCGCGCGCAAGCGATATTAATCGATTGTTCGGTTAGATATGTACTTCATTTAATGAACTATCAATTTAGATACCTTAGTTTTGCTACCTTTACCTTAGTTTTCTACATGGAGCGAAGTAACTTATGTTGGGAGCGAAGTCACTTGTTTGATAAGGCGATCTAACTTTCGAGTGGAGCGAGCTAACTTTTGGTTGGAACGATCTAACTGGGAGCGATCTAATCATGGTGCGATCTATCCGTAATTCCAGTTGTCATTTAGTTGACATCCGGCTAGAAGGACATCTGCAAGTCATTTCGCTTAGAGAATTTCTCATGTCATTATAAAGGTGAGGGTGCTGTACTCCGAAACACAAGTGGTGGTTACACACACCTTAGGTTTGGGGCCTTACGGAGGGTACATGGCTTAGGTTTGGTTAAGCTCAGGTTTCATATTACCCTTGGGGATGCGGTTACACAGTAAAAGACTCCCCTCAGGGTCAAATATAAATAGATATGAGTTCACTGACCTGACAAATTGGCAGGAAAAGTACAGAGCAACATGGATGTTACGAATCGAGATCTGTTAAGCTTAATTTCGGTGATTCTCCTGCTCATTATACGACAGTCCTCCATAAATATAACAGTCCAGCAGTTTTTTGCGAGAAGACACCGAAGAAGGCACGAAATTAGCCAAGCGCATCGGAGGTCACCTCAAAACACTGCAGGCGATTTCCTGTATTAGCTACATTCTGCTTTATGATTGGCCAAGCCACCTCAGGGAGCAGATAAACCGTACTTTTCAATTCAGGAACTGTCATGGGAGGTTCTTTTGTTCTTTTTGATGTATCCATGGAAATAACCTTGGGCAGTTTCGGTCTGGGGAAAGCGGTTACACACAAAAACGTCCTTGCCCGTGGGCAAACGCCATTTACCCATGGGTAAAAGGGCTACTGTAACCACGACTACTGCTTCAGGCCTTTTCAATTCATTAATTGTCAATGAGTGATTAGCATACTTATTGACTGTCTGCTTGCTCGCGTTTGTTTTGCTTTCTGCTTCTTCTCAGAATTCCGCATGAGTTGGACCACAGGCGTTCCAAGCGTAATGTGGATGATTTTTGCATTAACAGGAATACCTTATAACTTAAGATTGAATTTTAAGCGTAAACATGTGCCGTAAAAAAACAAACAAACAAACAAACAAACAAAACAAAACAAAACAAAAAAAAATGAAAATCAATTTTAAAAAAATAGAAAAACATAAAATTATAATAAAATCGAGAAATATAATATGTTAAGTCTCCTTACATTTACTCCGTAGCTGCCTGGTCGCTTCCGGTCTCTTAACGCTACTGTTTGACGACTTTTACGACTCAAAGGCCATTAAATTCAACAAAAGTCGACTGATTCCCCTCAAATTGCCACCAGTAAGAGCTAATAGCGAATATCTACCCATTCGAGCACAAATTCCGAATTGCTCCCAAATTTTAGCAAAAACAAACAATAATGTTATTTTAACCATTTAGCTGTCATGTTGTGCAAGACATGTCTGAATAAAATTTCAGTGGGAAAAAAAATTCATAGATCGCTAGTTTAGTTTGGCGCACGATGGCAGGATTTTCCTCGTCCATCTGACCCTTTCTCTTCCGAGGGAACGAGGCATTTGAGCACCGCTTTTAGTCAAATTTTTACTCTATCCTGGAACCAGCTGCTGGCGGCAATGTGGATAACACGTGGCTTCAACGTGAAATTCTCCTTCCATCACAAGTATTGAAGCCAGCATAAGAAGCGCAAGCGTCAACCAAAACGCAAAAGATCAGCTCGGAAAAAAAAAGATCCGTTCCTGCGTTGTGCTGATTCGCGTGCGATCTTTTGAAGTCCATTTTTATAACGAAATAGGTTTGTGATTGACTTTTGAATCAAACTGTGAGGTTTTTGTCGAAGAATATTAGTTTGATGCGACCTCTACCAAAATTTGGAAAATGCTAAATTTATTTTCGAGTGTCGAAAACTTGAAAACTATAATTCGCTCTAATGCGACACGGCCCTCAGTACGGGATTCAAATTTCAGAGCTTTCCGGTAATATTACACGCACTGACTCCACGGACGGTGTTTTTTTGCAATATAGAGCAATAGCAACAACCCTCCTAACGATCCCCCGGCAGAGTCACTTATTTGATCAGATGGGCTTTGATATTTGAATCCCGTGGTTAGGTCGTTCGCAATCAGCATGACTACAAAGCCAGAATGCATGACAAAACGAAGCGTCCGTCGACATGGCGGAATTTGGTAACTGTTGCGTTCGAACGGGTAAGTGTTTACTATTCGCTCTTGCTGGTGGCAATTTGAGGGGAATCAGTCGACTTTTGTGGAATTTATTGACCTTCTTCGAGTGACGACGGTTGGTGCTCGGAACCGGTTCAAGTGACCTGCTTTCCCTATTTTCAGTGCACACCACACGAACAAAGACATTCGATAGAATTATATCAAAAACGATCTGAAGGGAAAAGGTGGCTACGGAGTATAGGTAAAGACACTTATCACGTTATATTTGTCGCTTTTATCATCATTTTTATTCTTTTCTAATTTTTCTACAAGTATTTGACAATTTTTCATCGTATTTGTTGTAATTCGTGAACGTGCACTTGGGAATCAAGTTCTGCGATGGGGGTTAAGACTGCTAACATCATGACGTCGCGAACGGGACTTTGAACGCAATGCTCGACGAATTCGCTTTAAATTTACCTTAAGTATCTCACAAATCTCATGGCCGAGACGAAACACCGCGTCATACCAGCCACGAATATTTTTACAAGTATATTCTTTAAATTTTTTTTTTTTTTGAAGGCACAAGCTTAAAATTTAATCTCTTGATTCATTACGTATTCCTTAACTTTGAATGACCTTTAAGCACCAAAATCACACACAGTACGTTTGGGCTGCCCTTAGTTGGATAAATAAAACGACAGTGCCGTCGAACCTTTCAAAATGTCAACTCGCGGCTTAACACTAAAACGATCCGTAGAGCAAACTTCGCAAGGATTGGACTCAAAGCTATCAAAAGGCGAGATTCTGCTTGATTAGCCTTGCTTTACTTTTAGTTACATTCTACATCCTCTTAAGTTGAGAAATCACTTGGACAACTGTCTATGAACGGTCTTCTTTGTGGGCATAATAAATTCGCTTTGAATCTTTGAAAGCGGTTGGCTAGGCATTTAAATAATCCCCTTGTAATGTTCCTAATTATATGAAAGGCTTTTCCAACTCAAGAGTTCATTATTTAAATCATCTTGTGCATTTGAAGTATCTGATTTCATAAATCGCCCGCGGCTACAGAGTTCTGAATAAATTTTCTAGAAGCAAAAGCACACAGTAACATTTATGACCATCACGACTGACAGTTGATATAATGACTAATTAATGTGTTTTCTTTTCGCACTGACAGCCACTATTTTTAATTACTTTAGAAACGATATCAGATGTGTGTGTATATATATATATATATATATATATATACATACATACATATATATACATACATATACATACATACACATATATAGCTATTTCAACGGCAAACTGACTTTCAGAGTAACAAGGAAGCGATAAACTTTAAGGCTAAATTAAAGAATGCAGACCAATTTATATTTAGACTTAAGACTCGACGCGCATGTAGATTATTCCTTGTGCTTTCATCCACTGCTTGGCCAAGCCACCAGATATACGCTCCTTCAAAAGTGGCCTTGTATTATGTAGTTGCTTCAAATCTAATCATTTTGACAGATGAAAATATAAGTAAAATAAATGATATGAATTTCATAAATTTCACGTCACGACAGGCCACCCAGCTGATTGTCAGCGATCACTCAAACTGGGCACATTTTGTTCATAAGTCGTGATTGAATAAGATATCGAAAACGTTTGTTATTTAGCTTTCAGATCATTCTGAGGAGAAATATCTTTAAAAGCATTTCACAATTGATAAGAATTCAGTAATTACTTTTAAGTGACAGATGTTTTTGTGGTGTACCACGAACACGTCTACGCATAGTTTGTGGATATCAGTGTTCGTAAACACTGGGGACGTTTTTTATTTCTCCTAGTCTATGAAAGAAATTCTTAAGGTCTTTTCTATAGCATCTAAATCCTTTGTTAAGAAAATGTTTTTTTCACTTATTCTTTTTGATTCGCTCAACGGACTTTGCCGAAAAGGAAAGAATGCTCGAATTCTAGACGATGTTTTCTGCATGTGCAACACTTTTGAAGTTTTCTTAGCTAAGATTAAATTGTCATCGTTCAGTAAACTACAAAGTTTTGCAAAGAAATCCTTTCATGTTACTGACGTGCAAAACTTATAATCAAAAATTGGACTCAACACGAAACGAGATTCCGGTAACCAATAAATAAATAGAATTCAGATTAAATTCGATAAATTTAACCCCTAACCCTTTTCATAATGGAACAATTATATAATCTAATCCTCGTAAATTGAACCGTTTAACTAGAATCCTTAGGCAAGATACAAATCTATCTCGTAGCACCGAAGCGTGTTCAAAGAGGACGAGTAGGAGACAGTGTGATCCGCATTAGAACAATTCCGTGGATTTTAAGCCTATTAAAGTATTTTGTAAAATTGATTGATTTGGTCCGGACCCTTTAAGGTATACTTAAAGTCAACACTACTCCTTTAGTTTAAGAACCATTGATAAATCGTCGATAGCGGTGATTCATATACTTTCGGGTCGACAACGTTGTTGAGTGATGTTTTTAAACTCTTACCTTTGGAATCACCATTAAGTTTTTAATCTCTAACTTTAAAATCGGCCTCCGAAAAAAAAAAAATTTTTTTTAAGAGGGTGTCTCTGAACTTGGAGCGCCGCATCCTTGTCGCGAAGACGCAGGATAATTAAACAGCATTCTGTCAGATGGTGTTTTAATCTGACCTTCAATTTTTTTTAAGATCTTCGCTCTAAATCAAGCCAAATCAGTTTCTGCAAATATTACAAAATTCTTTATTTAGCATCAAGGCCTCATGGGGCAGTCTAATACTATAAAAATATATAAACATCGCCTATTGTAATCTACTTAACTTGGCGCCGCATTAAGACTGTTTCTGATAGACTTTTGCGGCTCGCGCTGTTTCTTTGGTTCAAACTCCATATTTACTATAAATTTTTGCATTTATGCAGAAGTTATTGAGAATAATGCTGTTTGCAATGTGTGTCAGAATAAAATTTTCCCTCGCACCCAAAGTTTACTCTAGACGGCTTACACATGGCTTTTTTGTAGCTGTCTACGTTTCAGAAAAAAACACAAGTAACAGCCCCTGGGCTTGAATTTTAAAAATTTCGTCTGGAATGATTAAATCTTTATCAGTATTATATCTGTTTGAGCGATATTCAATAATTAAAGAGCTTATCCAAAAAGCCTGATATATCAAGTTCATTTCGTCTAATTAATTCCGTCTGTTGATTGGTTAATAGTCTTGCTTGAAAAAGATTATGAAATGCACTGACAAAAATATCTTTTTTTAAAAACCTCAATCTACCCTTTAAAACTGAACTTCAAAAGCCGGACGTCAGTGTTTAAAAGACGTGCAATCTCTAGTTTCTCCTATAAGAACTGTATTTCCCATAGGAAATACAATTCTTATCGGAGAATTCCCGTGAGAGACTCAGGCAGATACGGTACAGGGCGTGGGCCGAGAGGGAGGGGGAGGGTTTCAAAGTAGGGGGGAAAGAGTAGAAGACAAAATTCTCCTTATTCTTTCCTTCTCGGAGGCCAAAAAAAAAAGAGTTTGATCCTGTCCCGAGAAAGACTGAATAAGAAAATGTTGATTTTCTTACCTGGAAAAATTTTAAAAGACATAAATGCATCACAGTCGTGTAATTTTTTTATGTATTTATTTTTGTTCGTTAGGAACTAATATTTCAGTAACAATTGTTGACGAGCACATATAACTCTTGCCTGAAAAAAAAGGGTCAGTGGTGAGTATAATTGACTTTCTTTTCGGACTGTCTAGTTTGCTTATTTATGCATTGTCAATCGTTCGTTTGTTCACGAAGGATTTTTTCCTTTTACTAAAGGAATGGAGGGAAAGGTGCCCGTAAAAAGTTAGTTGATAAATTTTCCCATAGAAATTTCCTTTGCTGAAATAAAGAGACGAGAAATTTCTGTTGTTGATTTTGGCCAGTGCGGCAATGAATTGAGTACCCGTAGAAGAAGGCAAAAAAAATTAATTCGAGCCCGGACACTCATTGCATTATTCATTAGGGCACTAGGATGATCCCCTGTCGTCACATATCTTTTTTTTCATCTACGAAGACAAGTACAAAAATTCACTCTGTACTTAACACTGAGATTGGGCTTCAAGTGCTCCATACAACTTATGTAACAATGAGGATCAGAATGAGGATGACGATGATGAGTTGGCGACCAGTTTGACGGTGAGGAAGATTTTCGACCTTTTTTCTGGCTAGAAAGACCAGAAATCTTTCACAGTATCACAGCTTTCTTGAGAAAAAGGCTGATATTACGACCCTCTTTTTTCCAAAAAGCAACTGACCAACTCGCGACTATGAGGCCTTCTTAATTAGCTAAACGCCTGCTCTAAAATTGTTCCTAATGTCCAACCTTCCGGAATAATAATAAACGATAAGTGACGGCAGGGTACTAATCCAGTTACGCTCGGAAACCTTAAAGGGGTGTAAATCCAGCTTTATCTCAGTACCCTAAGGTTGTCTTCAAAGGCACCGATTTAACTTAGATGTCCCGTTGAATTCTGGCCAAATTTAGTCGCGCATTTTTGCACGAATATTTACGCTCTCGTGGCTTTCAACAAAATTGGTGTAAAGTAACTTTTCGCGCTGTGTTTGACTCAAGTTTATGCATTAGCTCCCGTATGTCTTCGGTAGGTTGTGTTTTACAGCTACGGAACAATAGCATGAGAGAGAGTCATGATTTAGAAACCCGAGCGGGAAACCCCTTCCAAGATTTCTTGGGAAGACCCCATGGGAACAAGGAACGACTGTTTTCCTCTGCCGTTTTGTATCCGGCTTGCGACGTTCGTTCGCCCTCAACTTGCTACCGGAAATAGCAATGATCTTTCTTATCAAGAGCCACAAGTTAACGTCCATTTATCTTATATTGTAGAGGTGCCATTTTGTCTCTTAGTGATCCGAGGCCTGTTTACACTTTGTTTTGGAATCGTGTCTGATAGCTCAAGTTCGATTACATGCAACCAGGATGATGCGTAGAAAGGTTTTTACATCGATGGCAATTTTTGGTGGCATCTATACTATTTGGCTGATTATTTCAACAGAAAGGCAGAGATTTAAAGGTAAGAACATAAAAAGATGTAGATTGTTCGGCATTTCCTATAATAGCTGAGGAGAGACTTCCTTGTAACTCGGTCGAATCCATTGTTGCGTCTGTGTTCCCAGATAAATATGTAACTTGAACTCTCAGTAACATTTTTTTGTGAATAGAAATGATTTTTCTCGTTTTCGCTCCTTTTCTGCTCAACATGATTCAAATTCTGTTAGATTTTTCCTTGCAAAATATGTTTTTACCTGGTTAGGTTCATTTTTTTTGCATGAAATCACCCACGTTTTTGATTCCACCGCTTTCCGTCCATCGTGTTTAAGAAACACAACGTTAACAAATACTTTGTTATTTAGTTTTTATTTCCAAATCTATAATGTCGTTGTCGATTTGTATCCCTTTGTTTTCCTTCGTAATTTGTGAATAATCATGGTTTTTCAACCACTTGCAATTTGGCTATATGGCTATATACCACAACTATCTTTATCACCCTTTCACTTTAGAGCTAAAGATCAATCCCATATGTAGTATTTGCCACGCATTTCTTGCTATTTCAGTTGTAAAAAATTTAGTTGAATTAAACCATATCCCCTCATCTAGTATAGTGTTATGGCTAGCAATAGAATTTACTTTTTGATCACTCCTGCGAAAAAAAGCCCAATAACACCTGAATAAGGCGCGATTCAGCTTGTTGCACTTTGTATTTCGGTCACATCAAATGTTTTTAAGCCTTTTGCACATATTTTCGCCCCTCTAACATTCTTTTTAACCTGGCAGGAAATGCGTGCCTTTACTCAAACTGTTTAATGCGCTTGGAGTGGTTCCTGAAACATTTTATAATCCAATTATAATGTCTTGCGCTTTAATCAGTCCCACTGAGGTGCTTGAAAATAAACGACGTTTTATTTCATCAACGATTTAGAACGATTCACTCTCCAGTTTTAGAATTTACTTTGTTACACTGTGTTGCAATTCATCTCATTTTCTAAGTGGTCCCATGCATCTTGATCACTTGTGAAGAAATAAACACGCACATATATGCGACGGAATTTGTAGAAAATCCGCTCACGGTAGTTATTCTCTTCTGAGTATTTAATCTAGGAACACACTGTACTCAAATTCACGTACATAAATTTTCAGATCAATTTTATTTTTCTACTCGGGAAGAGTAATAACGACTTAATGAAAGCTTGATGAGTTTTAGAACAAAAGTGAAAATAACAAGGCAGATAGCGGTACGCGTAACTGTTAAATGCCCCGTTTTGACCCTAAAAATGTTCGTTTTTAAAAATAGATAGATCTGCTGCTTCATTTCTAGTATTTTCGTTTTTCACTCTCATCAAAGGTCAGGAAGTAGAATTGAGAGATGATCACCAAAACTAAAACCCTGTGACTTGTTAGATTCGCGACTTAAAGCCTTCAGTAAATCCCTACGGAATCTGACGAATGCTACTTAAGTTAATGACTTCTCGTTCAATTTAAGCGTCCAAATAGTAATCGATCGTGTCTCGGATACAGCAGCGTGAGTGACGTTCAAATTTTTTTTTTCCTTTTGCTTAGTGTAATTTAAAGTCCACTTGCGAAAATTACTTGATATAAGACCGTATAATTCAATTAAGAATTTTTTTGTGTCGTCTTGGGGTTAAATGTGTTGTGTTCTTCATTGTTCTTAGCAGTAAAAATTAGCGGTACAAATTGTGGGAATTGGACAAATAATGATTTATTAGGGAGACCTTATATTGACGAGGGAATACAGTACTTTACTGCTAGTTGCTTGGTATGACGGAACTCGGAATAAGCTCGGTCCTGATGAACTGCGCCGAGAATTTGTTTTGTTTTGTTTTTTTTACCGATTTCTATCGAATGATGCGACGAATTATTTAAGCGAAGACACAGAAATCTTTAGGCTTCAGCTGTATAATAGAGGTGATTGGCCTGTTGTTTACATCAGGTGCTGTTCCTTTGTCAAATCTATTAATATCCACAATCTGTGTATTGAAAATGAGGTCAAGTATAAATAAAGGGAATGAAAGTATTTCTAAGCTTGTTCTTTTTCCACAGGTCTCGCCTCAAAAGAATCATCATATAACACATCAGGATCAGGATGGTCAACAAAACCAGAGGTCAGTAAAGTGAAGAACAAGTTAAGAACAGCAAAAAGTTACTTTAAAATCAAAATTTTCCCCACGATTCATATCTCGATTTCTCCAAAAGCCTTTCCTCACTCCCTCCCATACGGTCGAGACAAAGTTTCAAGTGCCAACCGTTACATGTCGCGTGTCCTACAAAGAGGAGACATCCTCTGTTATGGATGGATTATATCGAAAAGTTCGTTTTGAGTTTGAGCTCAAATCAAAACTCAGCATTTTCTCATCATGTTAATTGTCTGGAAAATAATACCATGGCCTTAAAACAAATGACATTTTGACAGTCCAAAGACAGTTCATGAGTTTCCTTGGTGAATATGAACTTGGTAGTATGCCTTTCCCGAAGCCAGTAGCAAGTGTTTGACCGTAGAACAACTGACAAAATATTGTCAAGGTTATAAAGGATTGCAGAGTTTTTTAAGCTTTTTGACTGGTTCAGAAAACCTACCACCAATTTCTTAACCAATCAAATGCAACACTAAACGAATGGCGACCTGGTCTCTTGCGTTTTCTCTTTCTTTAGACATTCACGAGACATTTAGTTTAATTCCAGTTGGCTTATGATTATATTTACTTCTGTTGCGACTGGTAGTTAAAATTACTTCAATTGTGGTTTTCACCCGGGTCAAACGAAAATCGCACTAAACCTTTCTACTTTCAGTCCGTTCATTCTATGGCATCCAGACAAGAAGAGAGAAAACGTCAAGTTCTGGCATACTGTAAAAAGACGAGGGCAAGAGCACTGCAAGCTAAGGACCTAAATCATTTCATAGTGGACAGCAAACACCGACTGGTCTATTGTTATATTCCTAAAGTTGCGTGCTCCAAATGGAAGAAAATCATGGCGAAACTTGTGGGGTTGACTGGCAAGTCTGTACACAAACAAAAATTCAACTTTCTCAGCTATCACTCCAAAGCTGATATACGTTATATTTTGCAGAACTACTACAAGTTTCTTTTCGTTCGCGAGCCTTTTGAGCGACTATTGTCAGCGTATAGAAACAAACTGACCAATCAAACTGATATCTACAAATTGTACGCGAGCAAAATCAAGCAATCTGTCAGAGTAAGACTGGGCGCTAATGAAACATCTTCAGCACTTCATGGAGAATTTAAGTTCGAGGATTTCATATCATACTTAATCGATACTCACTCAATAAGGGGGAAAATAGATGAACATTGGAATCATTACGATAACCTCTGTCATCCGTGCGAGATAGACTTTGATTTTATCGGAAAATACGAGACATTAACAGAGGATGCTCCATTTGTGTTACGCGAGGCGGGTGTGGATCATTTAGTATCATTTCCTCCTGTCCGTTACACATCAACTAGGAACAGCTTGGGGGATTACTATTCCAAGGTTCCACGAGAAGACATTATGCGGGTCAAGAAACTTTACCGTCGCGACCTTGAAATGTTCGGGTACAATGCTAAGAACTCTCTAGGAAGCATAATAAAGTAAACGGTTTCTGACCAAATTAACGTGATGTCAAAAGTGACCATTATTGGACTGTCCAAAATCAAAATATTATATTCTCTTGCCTGAAGAGAGGTTTTTAGCTCTTTTTCCTTGTCTTTATATTAGAAGGGAAAAAATACTAACACACAGAGCTTACTGTAGACTACGAGCACTCGAGTAAAAAAAAAATCAGTGGAAAAAGAGTTGATGGTGGTGCGCCGCAGGGAGCTCTTTGAGACACTTCGATGTGCCGCTACTTTTCGAGCGCCTCACTCATGGAGCTCCCGCAGTGCATCGACGTCACTCCAAGAGCTCCTCGCGGCGCGCTAACACCAATTTTTTGTCACTGCCATGATGGACTTCGCCGAAATGGAGGAACTGCTCGTAGGCTAGGCTCATTGTCACTTCTATTCAGTTCGATCGTATTTCCCACCCCACCCCAGTCCTGGTTATGTTAGAGTTTTTTTTCTTCAATTTTCTGTTAAATTTTGCCTTGAGAACCATCAGATGTAAACTTAATGGAAATACTCGGCCTCGATGACCGAAGGAATCTCGTTTAGGACAAATGAAGCCTAATTGTCACAAAAGGCAAATTAACACTTAACTATAATAGCCAACGGAACAATTGTGAAATGATTCGAAAGGCTGTTTTTGTGCTCATGGACATTGACCTGCGTTTTATGTCCGTCTATTGTCCTCGTTTGCCCTGAAACTAATTTCCTCATTAAAACTTCAATATACTAAATGACATCTATCACATTCAACTGTGTTAAATTACGTGGTAACTACATTTTACAACTATTCATTACTACCGCAAAAACGAACACTTTGGTCGAGTTTAAAGCAAAAAAATACAGCTCAGTACCTGGACTACTACAAAATGCTGCTGTACCTTTTAGCGAGTTTCCTTGCTGTGGAGTGTACCCTTATAAGGCCTGTTAGCTCAGCTACTCGTGATTTTTACGTAGCAGCCGTTGAAAGAAATTGGAACTATGCACCCAGTGGAAAAAACAAGATCAGAGGAATCCGGCTAAAGAACGATAATGTCAGGTAATGCGTGTACCAGTATTGTACGAATTTTCAGCACCCGCACGAAACGAAACTAGGGCATATTACTGAAATTAAAAGAAGAAAATATTTGGGTTTTTTAAATTATTATCAAAGCTTTTATCTTTAGTTTTCTCGCGATGAGTATCGTCAGGGTATCATCATTTGAATGACGTCCAATTTTACAGTTGTGACAGTTTCAAGAAAATTCCCGTTGTTAAGCGAGTTTTACACGCAACATGAACTAATCTTTGAGTAGTAAAGAAACAAGGAGAAAAAGCAAGGAACTCCGTTGCTCAGATTAAATGAGTATGTGTAGTATTTAAGTATGAAATTATATCAACTTTTTTTGATGCAGATTTTACCACGAGGTTCTAAAGTCAAAAGGAGTTTAGAATGCACTCATAAACTGCTCAGGGTCCGTAATTGGGTTCGATTTTGCAGACCCAGCTTTATTTCACTAATCGTCTCTTAAAAAAGCTATTAAGGTCTGAAATATTTCGGTCTCAAATGGCAAAGAAGTTTCAAGAACTGCGTCGAAAAGTGCTCAACTCAGAGAACACTGTTCACATGATATAGGAATAGACCAGGATTGAAAACTATTTTCCACACTGTAGGTTTAAATTAAACCTGTACATTTAATTTCCATTGTTACAAAACTTATAATCATGAATTCAGAAGCATGTGTCTTTTGGAACGGGAAAAGAACAAATCGGTGCAGTGTTCAAATTCTTTCTGCGTCACAGTTCACGATGTCAGATTGTATCCAGAGCGCATTTAAGCAACAGGCGACATCGCGTAATGGTCTCGAAATTTAGAAATATTAGCTATAAATTGCCATGAAATAACTCAACAGAGTCTTATTATTTTTTTAACGTGTGGTAAGTTAACTTCTAGCATTTTTGTTGGCTTGGTAACTCAAAACAGCGCTACAAAAGCTACTTCGGGCAGCAGGAGATTGAAATGCTTGAGCATTAAATACGATCGCGATACATTTTAAAAAGTGACTAAACATCTACAGTGCTTCTTTGTTGTTATTAATGGGAAAGAACCAATGATAATCAGCTCAAAACTGAATCCTTTCTTCCGCGACGATGAATAGGTTCAAATGGGCGCTCAAGGAGCGATGCATAATGTCCACAGTTTCTACCGGAGTTCCCGTGATCTTGCTTTTCTTAACAAGATCCTCCAAAGGAAGTTCGAGGGGAAAAGTAGATTTTTCTCAAACAAAGTATCACTTGACCTAGGGATTTCCTCAAGTTTTTCATCGCTTATATCATCTTTCCAAAGGGCAAAAGCTCGGTAAAAACAATTCCCATGTCCGCTGACACCGACCTCTCTCCTTTGAGGAGGCATTTTTTCAGACGTCGCGAATTGTTTATTTGATACGTTAACATGTATTAAAACAGGCTGTAAATACATAAATACAATTGAAAAGCCTTAAATGAGTTATTTCTTAGGGATTTATTGCTAATTTTATAACTATTACGCGATGACGATTTCACGATGGACCTTATGCAAGGAGAGACGTCTATAGATATATATCTTATAACATATTTTGTGGTTATTCTGACAAAAACTTACACTTCCCTCGTATTAACATTATTTTTATCTATATATGATAAAACTGCGTTGATCTCTCTCGAAAATCCTTTTATGGACGTGGAAACAACCTTTCGCCATATATTTCCTTTTAGCGCGTTGCAATGTCTGCTCCGTGAAATCTTGGTGCAAACGAAAGGATACGATTACTGGCAACTTATTCATTGTTGTAGACTTGTCATTAATGGTTTGTTTCTCGGTTTGGAGTACCCGCATGGTGTAGTCAAAACAGCGCAGGAATCTCTTCGGATGCATGAAAGAAAGTGATCCGCCAGACGGATGATAGGCTTATTCTTTCAAAAAGTCATGTCACCAGGTTTATCAAGAAACATCAAGAGCTTTCTCCTTTGCTTTTCAGAAGCAGATGGAGATCGGAAGTCATCAATGGCCTGTGTTCCATTAGGGAGCCAAGGGCTTAAAAATAAGCAAGAGCTTTCACCATATGCTTTATTCAAAAATCATTATCACTTGTTAGTGAAAGGAACTTCTCTACGGCTTCCTCTCGTGTTCAAGAGACCACTTGTTTAAAACACAGTTTATGACAGACAACTTGACTAGTTGCTTTCTTGTTTTTCGATTTGGAACACCCGCAGGGCGAACGTCAAAACAGCGGAAATGTTATCATCTTTTCTTTGTAATCGTGTTTTGATGCATGAAAATAAGTGATGTAAAGAAAAAAACTAAGTCCTCCGCCTTGTAAGTTAAACTCCGGGTGCACTGTTCCGGAAAACGTGATAAATAAACATCAATACTGTTGCATGACTTCAGCCTAGAAGCAATCAGCGGTTATCAGTTTATATTCGAAGAGCTGAATCATAAACCAAGTGAAAGCAGCTTTAAATGCGTATCTTTCACAGTTATATCTCCTCTTTTTCAACTACGGGTCAGTGGATTATCTCACCTACCTTGGGTTCCCCTCACCTCCTTGTAAACGGACCCCCCAGATTTGTTTCGATGGTGGGCTTATTCTTAAAGCAATACCATAGCAACCCAGAAAAAACAGAACTACCGAAGCTAGTAAAGCAAAAGGAAAAAGCTAGGAAACAAACCATCTTGTGGTCAAGGTGTACCATAATAAGCTGCTAGGTGAAGGTAGTTCAATATCCTATGGGTAGCGAAGTGCAAAATCCCTTAACGACAGACAATGCGTGCGAAATACAGCTGAGTAGATGATAACTAAATAACTTACACGGACCAATCAAACGTAACTAGATAGATAACAAAAGGACAAGAATGAAAGGCATTTTTTGATCGTTTATGATCGTGGGCGCGAAAGTTAAGAAATTTGCGACCCAGCCTCTTACCGATCGACAAGTTGTCCCAATTAGCAAAACTAGTTTCAACAGCTTCAGGGAAATTTAACCCCCTCTAATGTTAAGTTTTCAAAGTAATTTACAACAGAATCGTATTAGGAACCTTTGTGTTCCGCAAACCAATAGGCAGGGGACTAGAAAGCATCATGCGTGGAAATATCTGTTTGACAAACATTATGCAAATATTGAATCATTAGAAAACTCGGCTTGACACTCGATATAATTGTATGCATAACGTATAAAAAAACGTCATTATATCAATCTTGCAAACGAGTAACATTTGACAGTTTGCCGGTGCCAATGTTGCAACTATGTTGCTATTTTGCGCGTTCAGTCTTGCTGTATCGTGGATTTATCTGCCAAGAGAGGTTAGCTGCTCGACTCGAGAGTACTTTATTGCAGCTGTAGAAAGAAACTGGGATTATGCACCCAGTGGGCAAAACAAGATCAAAGGAATTCCACTTATAAACGACAGGTACTGTGAAATCCAGTTATGGAGTAATGCGTGTATATGCAAGAAATCGCTAGTATGGAGTATACTCTTGTACACGTCAAATCGTTAACATTCTGCAGGCTGTGGACTGTAGTCGATCTGAAAGCGCTAAGAGGTGTGTTTCTTGATTTCAGAGAATATAAGTTCCTCTATAGAGAACTGGTTCGAATACAGTAGGCCATAACTGCCTTTGAAAATGTGCCTTATAACCTTAATTGTTTGCCGGAAAAGGTTATACTTCATTTCCGTACTGCTGGAAAAGTTTATAGTTCTCGTGATATTTTTAGTTTAGAGTTTAAGGGGTTGAAAGCCTATTAGAGTTTTAATTTCCATTTCGTTCAATTCGTTATTGAGCAGTATGAACTATAGGAGATATAAAAGAGTTTTAGGTGCGTTGCAAAGCTGGTAAGAACCGTATCGTACAAATTTATTCTGGTGAAGAATTGATTAGTGTTCATACCACTAATTAATCACGCCTTGCCTATAAATAGCTGCGCTTATCCAAGAGGTATTGTTCTCATATAAAGTACTTTAGACCTGTGAAAGACCCCTTCTTCGCCATTAAGGTAATGATCGTTTCTCAAAATTGTATACGCTTTAGAAACCGATTAAAGATCAGTTAAGTATCCATTACATATTTTTTAGTGAGGCAAATACACGTCTTTCTATCGATAACCCAAACAACAAAACTTTAAAGGAACATCAGCAGAATTTGCAATGAGCAAAATCAATCGTGATTTTTACTTGGTGAAGCGCAATGGTTTTGAAGTAACTGCAATTTGAAGAACATGAAAACTAAACCAGCCTTTGATCTACTCTAATTGCTGATATCATTATCATGCAGACCAATATAGACTGACTTATTGTTGGTTTTCTTTTGCCTGTTTGTATGAATTGGATCCGCACAGGAAAAAAAACGGCAAACAAATAAATTTCTAAGTTAGTTATTTTGTTAATTGTCGATACGTGACAGAAAGTGATGAGTGCAAATTAATTTAGTCCTTGGGGCTGTTTTAAGATAACAAGGAACCGAGAGTAATTTTGCTGAAAAACAGGATTTCTCTCCTTGCTGTTTTAATAGAGACGATCAAGAAGATAAATTTTAGAAAGAAGCTTCGGAAACCTTTCTCGACTCTTAAGAAAGAAATGAAAATCTTTTGAATAAATTAACCACATTGGCCGTTGAATAATTTTCTGTCATCACTACTTAGATTCTTAACCAGTTCTCATTGGCCCGACGATAAAGAGAGAGCAACCGTGCTGTCCTTGGTCTTCGTCACAAATTGCCTGCAATATATATTTCGTTTTGAATTTTTGTTTTAACGTCCAAAATAAAAAAACCAAAAAAGAAAAACATTTACCTATGTCTTTCTTCGAGGAAACCGTCGAACGAGCAAGATCTTCGGTTCTGAGCGACCACGAGTCACGTTGTAATTCAAACAAATGTAGGGAATGGTTGAGGAACTGGACAAAATGAGTCCCATCATTGAATGGGGGAACAAGCTCTCATTCTCGTCTTTAACCGATAAAATGTAATCAAATAAAGGGGTATACATTTTGAATTCGTTTTCGCACGTCAACGACACAACTGGCTGGAAATCACCCACAATGCATCAACATTATCACGCTTGAAGTGTTTAAATGTAGTGTGATCAAGGCCCGATTATTTCCATCCTATATGCGCTGGACTCTGGATCGATGGGTACATTTTCGAGACCTGGCCGGTTCAAAGTATTATATTTTTGGGCAAAACAATTAACTCTCAAAGCACCTCTCTTCACACAAGTGTATAAATGGCTACCAGCGAGTTGGCAGCCTGATTAAATGCTGGAGGTAATCTTGTATTGGACTGCAATTCCACCCAAGGGGGAGTAGTGATAATCCTAGTGGATTCATATTAAGGAAACCGGGATAAGCTCTGGCTGGGTGGGCCACTTGGCCACTTGATGATGAGCAGATAGATGGGAAGTGCATTCGACCATAACTAAGGCTCTTTATTGGAAAACCAATGGGAGTGTTTCATTACAAAAAGACATAGAAGTTAAGTTCTTACTTGATTGAAATTAAATCTTACTTTTATCAACACTAAAAATATAACAACATGAGCGATCTTGGTTAATTAGACGATTTACCCGCAGTCATGCGGTACCTTTCAGTCTGCGGGGAGTCAAGAGGCTGGCCACAGAATACAAGAAGGTGCTGTATCGAGAGTTCACTGATGAAACGTTTTCTCAAGAAAAAGCTCATCCACCACACCTCGGCTTTCTGGGTCCAGTCATAAAAGGAGAAGTAGGTGATACAATAAGGGTCCACTTTAAGAACATGGCTCGCAGGCCCTTCACCGTTCACCCCCATGGGCTTTTTTACAGCAAGGCCGCAGAAGGATCCCTTTACGCTGATCACAGTAGTGCCGATCAAAAGAGAGATGACATGGTCGGACCTAATGAGGAAAATACATACAATTGGTTTATAAATGAACATCACGCGCCTACAGAGTCAGACGAGGATTGCGTCACCAGAATGTACCATTCCCACGTGATTTCTCCGAAGGACACGAACACTGGATTAATAGGTGTGGTAAGGCTTCCTATAAGCAGGCAGTAGTCCGAGTAACGAAAGTTGCGCCTTCCGTTGCTCTAATATCTCACGGCTGCGAGAATTCCTTTGTTGAAAGTTAAATTTGAGAAGTCTATTCCTCACTGGGTTTTACGATGCCTGAGTAAATGAAAAAGGGGAAAATTATGTTCCATAAATTTACAAGCCATTTATGAGAAAGAGAGGAGAATACTTTTAATTGGCTTTTGCAGGGCCGTTGTTGATTTGCAAGCGAGGTGCTTTAATGGCAAACAGTGTTCAAAGGAAAAATGTAGACCATGAATTTGTCCTTCTCTTCACCGAGATGAACGAGAATGAGAGCTGGCTGTTGGATGACAATATTGACAGCTTTTTGCCTGATCCAGCGGCGAGAAAAGCCCTGAAAGCTGACCCAGAATTTCAAGCCAGCAACAAAATGGCCTCGATTAATGGTTTCATCTATGGCAACTTGCCAGGACTGGACATGTGTCAAGGAGACAAGGTCAGCTGGCATATGATTGGTCTTGGAACTTGGAGCGATGTTCACAATCGTAAGTATTATTGAATATTAGGCTCACAAGGTAATTTTATTACCATTACCAGCTGAAGCAGCTATGACATACTGACGCTAAGCCTCACAATACCAGAGTTGGCCGGTAAAGGGCGACTAGAAAAGAGTTGGTAAAGTGTGAGCACGGATGTTAAACGTGCCAGTCGCGTTACCTTGACCCAGCACATAACAAACCAAATTGGCGGCTGGGACTGTTAAGAATTTATTTTTATCGGCAACTTTCTCTGCTAACTCTGACAAGATTAGCTGAATCTTGAATAGTCTTTCCCGTTTAGAAGAACACAAAAACCAATCTGAAGTTAGGTGTAACCTTTTCATTGTACGTAGTCTCTGGTCTTGAATCGTCCAACTGGCATCAAGTTTTTCATATCCTCACATGTAAGCCGGTTTAGGCTTACATGTGAGGATACTCATGAAATGAATTTGCGTTTTTGTAGCCTCGTTCCATGGACACACTGTCATGATCAGTTCTCACCGCACAGACACAGCAACGCTCCTTCCATCTACTTTCATTACAGCCTTTATGAGAGCTTTGAATCTGGGCACTTGGCTGCTAAACTGTATGAACAGCAAGTTCTTTGATAATGGAATGGCAGCGTTCTTTAACGTCCAAAACTGTAGTAAGAGAATGGACCTACCTAACGTTAGCGGTGGGAAGACAAGAATCTATTACATTGCAGCCGAAGACCAGCTTTGGGATTACGGGCCAACTGGTCAAAATAACATCGACGGAATGCCATTAACCTCTCCTAAAAGGTATGAATTTTATTATTTATCATGGAATTTTAAGTTCATGAACAGGTTTGCATACCTTAAGTCAGCAGTGAGTACATGTCACAGGACATGGCAACACTTTCTTAACTGTCTCACAATAAAGCTTCAGATTTGTATTGAATCAAGTAAGAATTCTTAGAAATTTAATTTCTGAATTGTGCTATAAAAGAAGTATGCAATTCTTTTAAAAATTTGTTTTTTTTCGGTTATCGACCTTCATATGGAACCTAAGACAGTCCAAACGGCATATTTCAAAGTTTTATGTCGAGTAAGGAGACACAACGTCCGTTGCACCACTGTTTTATCATTCTTATGTTGTTTCACAGTGAATCTTTCCAGTATTTCACTCGCTCTGGTAACAGAATAGGAGGGCAATACAAGAAAGCAGTGTATGTAGAGTATACAGATGACACTTTTACAAGCAAAAAGAATCGATCCGCTGATGAAGAGCATCTAGGATTCCTAGGTCCTGTGATCCGTGCTGAAGTTGGCGATGAAGTCAAGGTTGTTTTCAAAAATAAGGTAATGCCTAAAAATGGCCCGTCATAGATAATTTTTGCGACCAGCGCCTGTGATCTTTTTGGGTTAATTACTTTTGTCGAGGGTATTTGTCGGTAGGGCCTCTAATAGTGATTACTGATAATGGTTCTCTTTAAAACATCGATTCATCACCCAGTTCAGAGATAAGTCTAGTTTTGAGATTATCAGTGAAAAGTGTTGTCTAGTTATAGCACGGTTAGAACACCAAATGCTGTCAACAAATGACCAGACTACAAGGAAATGTATAAAATAGCCAGTCAGAGGGGAGAATTATTTATCAGATCTTTAAAGCTTAAGGCGGGTTAAACAGTGTAAGTGGATGTATAAGCTTTTCAGCATGAGCCTTACTGCTAAAACCTTCAACGGGGACAAAGATCTTTTTTTCTCGACAATAACAACACTTCTAAGACAGCCATCACTATTAGCGCGTTTGACGAAGGGCTAACGCTCGGAACGTCAGCTTTTTTACTCTTTACGGTGGCCAATTTACGTTTTCAACTCAGTTGTTAACACAAAATTACCTGCTTGTATCATAGCTTGCGTTCTCACTGGCTTCTTGAGGTTATGGGTAATTCGTTTTTAATGTAAAAACTTTTTTTTTCAAAATGCACTCTAAAGTGATGTGAGCAAACTCTACCCATGTCAAACTGAACCCGTTGTGGTAAACTACATTAAATTTTTCCAGGCAAGTCGAAATTACACCATACACCCTCTAGGTGTATTTTACGACAAAGCTAACGAAGGATCTCAGTACCAGGACGGTACAACTGGGAATGAAACTGCTGATAACGCGATAGCACCAAATGGAACATACTCGTACAGATGGATAGTGCCTGACTCTGTGGCACCGGCAGAGAATGATCCTGCGTGTCTAACATGGATGTATTACTCAAATGTTGATTCAACCAGGGACATACATAGCGGTATGTCGAGTTTCGACTCTTTTATACATTAAAAATGTTCTAGAAATGAATTTTTTGGTCTACCATATGACATTGTGAAATTAAAGGTGAATCTTCGGAAGCAGCATCTGGTAAAGCGTCAGGGCTCGTCAGGGTGTAAGTTAAAGGAAGTCAAATGGTGACGCTTCTATAGCGACTAAGTAAGTTGAATTAACTGGACGTGAAGTGGTGATTATGTTCGCGGAGAGTTTCAATGTAAGCTTTTCAACTTTACTTTGGGCTTTGTAATTTTTTTCCACCATTATTTTTTGTGAGCCTAAAAATATAAAATAATACAAGCACCGAGAAGCTACACCTTTTTCATCGCAATTATTTTAGTTTTTTAACGTACCTTTCTTACTAAAAGGAAACCAGCGTTATAGCGATATTAATCTGTTATCTTGATACACCACTACTAAAATAAATTATGTTGTAATGTTTTACAGGGCTGATTGGACCTCTTCTTATTTGCAAAAATGGAACCTTGGACCGGAATGGCAAACAGCGAAACATCAATCGCGAGTTCTTCCTTCGGTTCGCTTTAACCGACGAAGGACAGTCCTGGTACTTGACTGATAACAAATATCTAGCAAACAATGGATCTGCCATCGACGAAAGTCAGTATTTATAACAACGGTTTCTGTTTCGCTCCTCTCCCATGTACTGCATTGTTTACATGAGTTAGAGGAAAATTCATCTCGGCATGTTTTGCTACTAATCGTATGAGGGAAAAAACACGGACTCAGTTCAAATAAATTTTTAGCCTGTTCCCCCTACTGGTTTTTATCCTTACATCCTAATTAAACTTAGCATGGAAAAGTCAACATGGTAAACATTGCATTTAACCTGGAGCATAGATAGACACAAAACCGAATAGTTGCAGTTACAATATATATATATTTTTCCTCCAAATTTAAGATGACTCCAGCTTCAAGAAGAGTAACCAGATGAGAAATATCAATGGATACATGTTTGGAAATTTACCTGGTCTGCGCATGTGCAAAGGCGATAATATATCATGGCATTTCATGGGCGGTCCCGCGAGTCAAATGCACGCAGTGTACTTTTATGGAAACACCTTTACTAGAAATGGAAACAGCCATGATACACTTGGAATAATGGAAGGTAAGTAAAGCTTAGAGGGTATCCAGAAAAGACAGTGCGGGGAATCGCTCGGAGATGCCAGCGTTTTTGCTCTCAATGCGCAGAACAACACGCTCTAATTTTTACCTTTTCCGGTAGTCGAAGTCCCGTCCCACTCATTAAATCTCTTCACCGAAAAAAGCAGGAAAGAGTATTTCCATGACAGCAATGTCAGACTGCAAGACTTGTCGGATATTAGGAAGCATATCTGGTAGGAGAACAACAAGCGAGCTTGTTAAGTTCCATTATCAGCTCACATTCAACTGTTCACAGTACAACAAACTGCAGGGAGGCCGTCTAGGAAGTGCCTATGGAGAGTCTTTGGAAACAAAATAACAACAACAAGACGACAATGACTATAGCAACGAAAGCAAGAAAAACAAAAAATTAACCAAGCATGTGCATTAAATCACCCAGACTTCAGACTACGGAATTATTTTTTAATTCTTCTTCTGGGTCCGTTCTAGTGTCTCGTTCTCCAATCGTAGTTTAAAATTAGTTCCGTCACGTTCCGGTTCAAAAATTCCTTGATATTTATATCCGATGCAAATCATTAATTTTAGTTAACTCTATCCATCAGGATCACTGGAAAGCGTGCGAATGACTCCAGGAAATCCGGGAGTGTGGAAATTAATTTGTCGTGCGAACAGCAATCTCCGAGGAGGAATGGTTGCTAAGTATACCGTTTCAGAGGATTGCGGGAAGAAGTCTGCAGCTAAGGCAATGAGTGGACGGAAGAGGGTGTATCATATTGCAGCGGTTGAAGAAACATGGGATTACGCGCCATCTGGGAAAGACTTGATTGAGGGAGTCGATCTCAAAGACAGCGAGTGAGTGCACATTCATATAAGGAGTGCATCCCGTTGCATCTTATTCAAGATAACTCTTTCCCACCAAAATTTCTATATCCCGATGTCATGTGTAGAAAAAGGATTTGAAAATAGACGCATTAAATCTGATAAGTTTTCTTAATCCTATTCGCAGGGAAAGGTTGTTTAAACAATGAATTTACTAAAAAAGAGCAGCAGCACATAGAGCAGGGTTCTTATTCATATTGCTGGCTAAATGAACATTTCAACGCTCTTTTACACCGTAATTCTAGGAATGACGTGCACTTGCAAACAGTTCTGTCTCGTGCGAGCATGCTTTCTTCTAAGTTTCTCTCTAAACCCTCAACCTGTTACATACCACTTTCGAACCAAAGGGTGATGCCTTTCATATACCTCAAGATAAAAAAAAAAAAGAAAATAAGTGCTTGCTTAAAAATCAGAACAAGTTTCATTTATTTTTCACGTGAGTTTCCGCATAGACACTTACAATAGTAGTTTTCCTCACCTTTTCTGCACATCAGGTTACAAGACCCTTTCGTACATCTAAGCTTATAAAAGATACTCCTTTGGCGTAGATCATATCTCTATAGTACTTCCACGGGTCTTAAGAGTCTAAAGTCTTTTCTTTTTTCGGTCGTCTTCAGGTTCGCTCCTCGTTACACGATACCAGGTCCACATTTTATTGGACGCAAATACAAGAAGGTCATCTACAGAGAATTCACGGACGCCACATTTACCAAACAGAAACCAAGAAAGAAAGAAGAAGAGTATCTGGGTATTATGGGACCGATGATTAAGGCTGAAGTAGGAGATACAATTGAAGTTGTGTTTAAGAACTTGGCAACAAGACCGTACTCGGTACATCCTCACGGAATCTTGTACAGGTATATTTGGCTTTTGATTCGTATCCATTCCTGCTCATTGTGTACGTTAGGAGAAGTCAATGAAGTTTACTCACAAAACAAACTATGAATGAATGCTTTTTTCCTTACTTAACGTTTCTCTGTCGCTACATGTTTAACGAGCCCCCAAGATCAACCTTGAGATTGATTATCAGTTATTATCAGATTATCAGTTACGATTGATTATCAGGTATGATTAATACGATTGATCAATTTGGTTAAATATTCGGTACGACTTGAAATCTTTATTATGGCCTGCTTTTAATTTAACGAAAATTAAGAATTCTCCTTTTTTTTACACAGGATACATAATGTAACATCTTAATAGGTTTACTCCTTTGCTAATCTGGTCACAATTGTTGCTGTAGTACAGGAAAAATAAACTGTCCAGCTTCCAATTCCGATCTATGATAAAAAGTACATCAATGACATGATTAAAGTTTATGAAATTTCCTCCGTTTTGTTATCGAACGACGGCTAGACTGTTAAGCCATATTTCTTAACCACTCAGCAAGCAGGACGAAGGTTCATCCTACAAAGATAACACAACGGGGACAGATACCGCAGACAATGCTATTGCTCCTGGGAAACTTTATAACTACATATGGAAAGTGTCTGAACGATCGGGGCCTGGGCCTGCGGACACGGCATGTCTAACATGGGCGTACTTTTCTGATGTGGATCCAGTCAAGGACACTAACACTGGTTTAGTAGGGCCGCTGATCATTTGTAGGAAGGTAGGTGTAATACAGAAAGATCCTTGTCCGCAAATGAGCTGTTTTTGATCGAGTGTAAAAAGACATCCAGGATTGTATAGGGGCAATTTTTTCAGTTATGTGACTGTCACCCTCCTAGCCAACCCGAGAGGAAAATTAAAACCAAGTAAAACTTGGTCACTCCGAATCTCTCTCGAGCCAGCTTGCTTAGTTTATTTCCCTGTTGTCATTCGCTCCTTGCAATTTTTTCCTTCGTTTTGATCGACCGCTTTGATTACTTTGGCTTTAGCAATATCACTTTCACATCAGTATTGGTCTCTGGCGACGCAGAAAACAAAGCCCTAGTGGATTTCGAAAAACGAATAGCACCGTTTAAACCTGTTTCTTTCGAGAATATCTGTTGTGGAAAGTAAAACTTGAAAACTAGTGGTCGCCTTGTAGACCAGCTGGGCTCAGTTGTTAGAAGGCCAATTAGAGCTAACCCAAAGTAAAATTTCAATCTGGGTTTCTTTATTCCTTTATTAAAAAGCCTTTTTGGGATGATTTTCTGTATTCTTTCAAGAGTATCCAATAGCAATATCCTAGACAAAAAGAATTCGACTAAATTTTCTTCTAAAGCTTTCAGATCTGAAATCAGATCTCACACTAACCCTGAGTTATCTCAGCCCGCTTTGAAAAACCCGGCTCAGGTCTATCCACTGGGACCAGCTTCGAAATTCCGCAATTTTTTTTATCGGCTAATGTGATATTTTCACTGATACGGCAAAATTTTATAAATCCATGCGTATTAGGTCTATTCGAAGAATTGCATTGTCAATGGCCTCAGCAGTTCCATTCAATTTTACAAGGGTTGTGCAGTCTATTAAATCTTCTCTCACCGTTTTTACAGGGAATTTTGGATAGAGATGGTCAAAGAATTGACGTTGACCGTGAGTTTTCACTGATGTTTGTTACGATGGACGAGAACAACAACTGGTACATAGATGAAAATATTAAATATCTGACTGAAGATCCAGGACCCTTAAACGAACTCAAAGCGAGTTTTGATTTTTGGGAAAGCAACCTAAAGGCGGCCATAAACGGGTACGTGTTTGGAAACATGCCACCACCAACAATGTACACCGGGGAGAAAGTTGTCTGGTACCTGCTTCAAGTTGGAGGCATGACCGAAATGCATACAGTACATTTTCACGGCCAGAGCATTTTGTATGTAAGTATAAAAATAACAATAGGTGGATTCTGTCTATTTCCGGGTGCCAAATGATACGTTGTACACACCGAGTTGATTTTGGTGTCTCTTTATGACGGGCGGTGGGTTAGAGCAGAAGAGACCGAAAGTCACGTCACGATAGAATGCACCAAGAGGGTCTCAATGAGGTGATAGATTTTACGGCGAAAGATTAAAATTTTGGCCAGTTTATGGCTACGTTTAACCCAAAATGACACAGAATGATACTTTGTAGAAACGAAAAATTGTAGATTTTTTTTACGACAAAAGGTAAAAATTTGTCAAACGTTGTTAAACGAACGTTTTACAGCTATAGGTTAATCCCATTGAGACCCTGCGCCAATACCTTGCACATCCAAAAGCGAACATTCGAAGACCCCTTCTCTTCGACGACCACTTCCCTTCTTCGGTTAGTCATCTTTTCGTCTTTGTTTTGTTTTTTTCCCGGTGGACAGTCCATACGCCCACCTCTACTCAAAAGGAATGGCCAAACTTAATGCACGTTCAAACAGCCTAAAATAACTTCTTTACAACACCCAGTTTATCGCTTACTAAAATACGCAGAAGGAAAATATAGACGTGACAGCTTGCTAAAACTGTCGACCACAAACGGTATCCTTTCCCCGAAAAATCTAGAATCACTGATTTGTTTTAAATTCTTAGCGTTAAAGTTGTCCAATTAATTCACTAGTTTTGCTTTGTTGACAACTTTCTTCTTAACTTCCATTTCAGAATTCTTTGCTCTGATTCAATTGATTATATATAATCATATAGATAATAATATAATATAGATCGTTTGTATACGTTAAAGGAAACATTTTCCGTTAAACAACGATGTCCTGATCGTCGAAATGACAAGAGCCCCATCACAACTCCACCTCCATAAATTTCACCTTTATACAACAATCCCATCTCTCAGGCACAACGGTGGCCGTTGTGAAGAGATTTGATTATATATGCCAATACGAAAGTGTTAACCGGAAAATCATATTTCATTGCACGTATTTTGCAGAAATCGCTAAGTTATCATCGGGGCGACGTCTACGACCTGTTACCGGAAACGTTTGCCACTGTTGAAATGATTCCTGACGCTGTTGGAACTTGGATGGTACACTGTCATGTGAATGTTCACATAACTGGTGGAATGCAGGCACTCTTTACTGTCTTAGAACCAACAAGTGAGTGGCTGAAGTGCTGCGAGAATACCTCTTTTGTTAGCATCATCTACTTCATCTTATCGTTTACTCTCGTGGGTGAGAATAAGTGAGATTTAAGAGTAGGACTTAAAGTTTGGACCCCAACCCCCCTTCCACCCCCTCCTCCACCGCATTGAACTCCCTGTAACACAGTGAAGGTACTAATAGGAGGTTCTGGGTTCGTTGACACGTCGGGATTCAAAAATCTTTAAATTTTCCCACGCACGTAACAGAACGAATTTATCCTCTTTAATCCCCGTTTAGTGTTCAACCTACTCTATGAAATCCCGCTGTTCTAACACGACCGTCACTGTTTCTTTCTTTTTTAGGTGCGCCAACCAAGAAGCTACACCCACCTACTTCTGGCACTTCAAGAATTATTACTTCCTTCACACTGTTGTCGATTGCGCACACAGTTTTTGTTTTGTAGAATATCTCTTCTCACGAGTTGTACATTTTCGAAGAAAACGAGATTTCTCAATTTAGTTTTAAAAGTCCCGCAAGTTTTACACGTGTAGTCTCGACTCTCAGAGAACACTTTTTTTATCCAAGTTCTTGAGGAGACTTACAGTCAATACATCACCATTTCCTAACCCTGTAGATGACTTTCAATCCGAACCACCTTTGTTGCAACAGCCCGTTATTCTGTGTGACTTACTTTACAAGCATTTGTGCAGGACCTGACGGCTTTTTTCCGGACTGGCTCACGTCAACCTGTCCAGCCCTGAACACTTTACTATGGTTTGCTACGGGAATGCGCGCGAGGCCGTACCGTTCATATGATAATTACTAGTAGATCTCTGCTCCCGATCACTTTCATACGGTTTCCTATTTCCATTTCCACTGTTCAGGTTTTGTTAAAGGTGGAGAGGAATTCAATCGACTTTAAAAGGACTTATGAAAGAATGACAGTTACCCTATTCTAATCGGATTCTCTGTCTGCAATAATTTTTTAATTTCAAAAGGTGGTGTTTTGTTTTTGGCTCCCTTCCTGCTTAATAATTCATCTTTGCTGGCGACAAGAAAGATTCCTCTGGGAACGCTTGGTTTTAGCTCTCTCAAAGTAAACACTTCTTAATAAAAGTTTCATTCAAACTTGCAATTTTTGTTTTCTAACTTTGGTATTTCTCATCTTTTCTATCCCTGCCAATTACACATTTCTTTAGATTTAACAATAAACTGTATCACTTCGCTAAACACCTCAGAAAGAGGATTTTGTCGAGAGCAGGCCGCGGTGTAGTGACCCGGCCTCGACTAACGCGGATCCGCGACCCTCAACATGGCTCATGGCGCAGCGGTCGGTGGCTTTGAGCCTACAACACGGCCGGCATGTCGCTTTTAATACTATATCATGATTCTGAGTTTCTATTCTTCTGAAGTTAAAACCATCTGACCTTAATTTTTATGATTACGGTTTGCTAAATGTTTAAGCTCATTTATAGAGCATATTACGAGGCTGCGCTTAGATACGAATTTTTTCTTTGAGTGTCGATAATATCACTTATGAGTGAGCAAAGCGCACGAGCGAGAGAGACAAAAATATATACGAGAAGATAAATTCATATCCATAGGTGGACTTGTCATTCTCTGTTTATCAGGTAGATTTTGAGTACATGTAGACATCGAATTCAGAGGTCGCCTGCACATAAACTCAGCTTGCAGAAAATTACCGTCAAATTCTGAGTTACGTATAACACTAGTTATCTTTGCAAAAAATATTTCCCTCTCTCACTCTTAACTCATCGTGTGAAGATGTAAAGGTCACGTTCACCGCTTTTGGCGGCGACGATATTATGTATCCAAAATAGAAGAATTTCTGGTTTTTATGATTGTCTATATAAAAAATGTGTGTAATATCCTTATCCACATAGTCACATCAAGGAATCTGTGGTAAAGCATATCTGTAGGTACCCGTTTGTAACATGGTAGTACTTTGCTATTCATCTGTAATAACCTTATCGCCCTGTCAGGTGGGGATAGCAGGGTGATAACGTTATTACAGGTGTCATTTGAGATAAAAAGCCTTTTCACTTATAGGCGATTGGTTAGTCTACCCAAAGCTTGTCAAGGCCGTCACACCAACAGTTTGGTAAGGTGGTTAATATTAAAAGAAAGAAAGAAAAAGAAATAACAGAAAAAGGCGTGTTATAATTAGGTTGAATAAGTGTCATACATTCTCTTGATAGAGTATGGAATATCTTCACTCTTGGACGGCACTGCTATTTGCAGTTTGTAAGTATTGTTATCAGCACTTCCAAGTCGATTGCGCAAATAATGACGCTGGAAAAACATAGCATCCAACATTAAAGAATAGGAGAAAAACTCTAGGAACAAATCCTTTGTGGATGATAAACATTTCTTCGTTAATTGACGAAAAATTCGTGTTTAAGTCAGAACCTGAATTTCTGTTGCTATCTTTAAAAACTTGCGCTTTCTATGAATGTTTGTTTATTCTGTAATATTTTATGTAGCATTATTCCTTTTTTTCTTGAGTCAGTTTAGCACAAACATGACTGTGGTTTGATTTGTAGGCTTCACAATTTTGCGTTGTCTTGTGCTGTATACTTAGTATTTCCTCTTATTTGACAGTTACTTTACAAATACGCTGTCTGTATTTTTTCCTGCCAGTCTTAGTCACATTTCAAGAATATGTAACATGGGCATACCATTTACCCAAAAACGAAGTCAGCACAGCGGAGGTGAAGTCTTTCAGTCCAACGGAATCAAAAGACTCAAGATTCTGGTCTACTGGAAAGAGAGGTAGCGGTACGAATCCATATGGCATTTCATCTCATGTTGTAGAGCGTCGGGCTGCGCTCAGGGTCTTAAAATAATTGAGGAGAATGTACCGCCTTTGCTATGACATCTGTAAATGGTTAGACATTCCAGGCTTTTCGGATAAGGAGATATACTTTAAGCCCGGTCTCCTGCACCTTCTCTCTACTAGTTAGCAGGGGACGCTAAAGAACCCATATGCATACTTTTCGCAAAGAGTAAGGAACATTGCTTCAGGTGTTGTGGTCTGGCCTCGTTATCATTTATTCAGGCCCCGCATTCAAATCAGCTTTAAGCTGAACTGGGTCAGGCTGTCTAAATATCGCAAATAAACACATACGTACTTATCAGTGAGCTACGTGCGCCTGCCTAGAAAAGTAGGAGCCACTTCGGAAGGTTTTTGGAAAATTCTGGATTCTGAATTGGAATTGGCAAATGTTTTCATTTTGTACTTTTTTTTTTTTGAGAAAGTACACAGTGGTGATAAAATATTTACAATGATCTCAAAGTGTTTTTTTTTAATGTGCATTTTCAAACCAAATCAACACGAAGTAAGACAAAAGAGATATTGCTCCTTCAAATGACTTTCTCCATAGAAGGTCTCTAAAGTTGTTATGGGAATAGCGGTAGTCTCAAATTGTCCCTTTTCAACATGATATTTTTTCAACAGAACTGAAGAATCTGATTTCTCAGCCTCAGTCGACGGCACCTGGGAACAAGAGAGCACTTCCAGCAGCAGCGTTAGCCGTACTAAGTAATCCTAAATTACAAGAAATAGCTTTAGACAAAGGAATTGATATAATTGGAAAAATGGTTGATAAAACTTTAGCAAACTTTGAACACGCACGAAATAAAGCAGCTGAATTCTTAAAGAAGGAGGTATGGTGATATACTTCTCTTTTATAGGCTTGTTAAACCTTTGCCCTATACTCGTCGCTAAGGGGTCTTTAGTTGTTATAAATGTTTTGTAAATGTAACAGAACATTTTTAAAATCCCATTTCTTATAATAATCGACAGAGTTTGACAGTTTTTGCGTGCAGCGAATATGGAAACATATTTGGTTTAGTTAAACGCGAGCCAAATAACTCACACTGCTAGAGCTTATATCAATTTCCTTACCATGAAGTGGCTAAGTGTATTTCAACTCGCTTGAATGGGATACTAGTTCATCATAGGCTGCTTAAAACGAATTTCCTCTGGCATCCCTGAAAGCTCGCCTTTCACACTTATGGGCGACAAGAGGCATTGTGTGAATAAACCGTCCTGCCCAGGAACACAGCAACTTGACCGAAAGGTGCGAAAACAAGGATCTTCCAGCTTCAGACAACCTTTTTAATCATTAAATTCAGATAAAGCTTGACATCACTCCCGACAAGGCCTGGATGAGTGACAACATGATGGTTCCATCAGCGTATCACCTGGATGCCTCCATTGACGGCGACTCCAAATCTCCGGTAGAAGAAGGAAAAAATCCGTTCATTTACCCGGCAGGAATGGGTCAGATTCTTATGAACGGATGTTGGGGAAAAGACTACAAGATTGGTGATCCATGTTACAATGCGAAGGAAAACTCGTCATTATGTAGGGTAAGGATAAATATCATGAAAATAAACTTCAAGGATCAGGATCATCTAAAAAATGAAAGAAATTCAAACTATTCATAATAAACTATTTCATAACAGTCAACTATGATGAAATCATTAGATTATCAGAGAAATTAACGACAACAGAAAAACAAAGAGAATAACAAAGAGAAAGGAAATATGGCGAGCAATCAGAGAAAGGGTGAGAAAGAAAAATTATCATTCAAGGAAGTAACAGCTTTCTCCTTTGATGTCACTGTTTCTCACTTTATTTGCATGCAACTTTCCTTCAGAGTAATTTTCAATTGCATTTACCTCCATAGGATATGATTGATGGCGCCTTTTTCATAGGCGTGGGTTTTGACGGAAGCGGAGAATATAGTCCAGAGTCCAGAAAAATGAGCATTGTCCAGAGAAACTGTGTCACCAAATCAAAGTAAGAATGAGACTCTTAAACTCTGCTGCATCATCGAGTGTCTCTCCCTCTTGTTACCTCAATGATTCTATACTCAGTTTCCACTTCAGTTTTGACCTTTTTTTTTCAGCTACAATGGCCGAAATGTTCCAAACACCATGAATGTCCATGGTATTTATGAGACGTCAGCGTTTATGCTGACCTTTGAGAATAGCGCTGAATACCAGACATATCTTCAACACCAGGCTGGCGTCTCTGGTTCCATATTTGGCTTCAGTGCAGGAGTGAAGAAAGCCTGGGGTGGCTCAATGCAAACTAGTACTCAGCAGTATATGGCTGCCTTGTACGTGGATGTAGAGAGGTGAGTAAGTAACAAAGTTGTGCAATAAATTTGCGTACCACTAAGCAACCGCTTATTCACAACATTAACAGAAGAAAAAGAGTTCCAAATTGTTTCCAATGCTGAATGACGCCAAGTGAAAACTAACTAGTAACTACAGTATTCATGTCTTGGATGAGGAATTTTGTCAGGGTTGTTGAAATGCAAGAAAATCTCATAGACCATAGATGTTTGCACAAGGACCTCCTTAACGGGAAATGGTCGTCTGATTAACTGATGCAATCTTTGAATTTAAGGTACGAAATCTTCATGGACGAAGTAAAACCAAGTGATCTTAGTCTGTCGTTCCTGAGAGAATTCATGGAACTTCCAATCTCCTATTTTCAACCTGGTGCACAGATAAAATTCCGTAAGGAACATTCTCTGACTTATGTTAACACTGATCCTTTGATAATGCCCACATCCACATAAAGATGTTCAGATTGATGAAAGAATTGGCCATTTATGTGTCACATAAATATCCTGTTCTAAAATTAATAAACTGCAAAAACCAGACGGAGAAAACAGCGCTAAGTAAAGGTTTCCGAAATTGTGGTTTCTCACTACGAATGTATGGTTAATAAGTTGCGGTGATCTGATAAGAAAAAAAAACCAAATTGAAAACCGAATAGATTCACATATCTACATATTGTAGTTGATAATATACATCTTCAGATAGCTTCGTTCTGATCCAGTCTTATTTTTTGCATAAAATGACATTTATGGATTAATCACTTTTGCCATTAGATAACTATATCCAATTTTGAGGTATTCACCACAAAAAATGAGAAAAATTCGGAGGATAATTACAAATTAATAAGCATCTCAAAAGGCATCACGATATAAGTGGAAATGA